CGAGCCAACCGTTCTAATCACTCTATTCAGAACAATAACGACAACTGCGACACGATAGGATACTATCGAACGCGCGACGCAAGAAGATACAGACCATTGACTAACGTAGATAGCTTTTACTGTCTCGAATCAACAGTAGAAAGGGTTGACAGCAATTATAAACATATATATATGTTTCGAATGACCTTGAGGGACGCTAATTACATTGGTAAGTTAAAACAGCCAACAACCAATAGCGTTCCAAGGTGATGAGTATGGGGGAGGGAAATACAAACGCATAAATGTAGTATTTTCGAAAAAATTAGGTCTATATAACAAAAGGAGAAGCGTAGATTTATCCATACATTACCGAGGAAATTTATGCTTATTAACGTCAAATTTAAAGATGATACTGACTCCGCGGTTCTGAAGGACCGCCTATAGAGATCACTGAGAAAAGAATCCCTTTCGACTGAGTTACCAACCAATTTCTACCGTCAGCGAATGATCAGTGGATGTGTGGAAAACCATTTGCTGCTTTGAGGGCAAAGTAAAATTATAAAGACTCATAAAACACGAATTCACAGGTGACCCTGAGCCGACCAACCAATCAGGATATACAGTGGTTTCTGCATATAAATGACGTTTATTTATTACAAGAGAAATACATGAAAGCACATTAAACAGGATATTTTTCCCTGACACGACTCCAAGTTATAATGAGGAGTATCAGTTTTTAGGCTGGACCAGTTTCTGTTCATTTAATCACTAAGGTGACTGAAGATGAGTTCTTATAATGACCCTTATCCTGCTTTTCAGTCTTCCCCCAAAAGACCACAATTAAATTCATATGGGTTTCAGTAAGAGGACCAACACCTATTTACTAGGAAAATGTGGATAATAAAATTAAATAATACCAACCCCAAACGTAATCCTATTCGCAACCCTAATGCTTACCCTCACATTGATCCTAACCCCAATCATGACCAAAACCCTAACAAAATATTAAAAACGAGATCGGAATGAAATTTGCACCTCAATTCTTGGACAGCGTTCATTATGGTGCCACATTATAGTAATGGTTGGTGTCGTTGTCCAACGAATAGTATGCGCTCAAGGCCATTGCAGCGCACGCACTCCTGGAACTTTACACTTTGAGTCACACCAATATTGTTTTTGTAAATTCGCTTGCTCCAGTGAAGTTTTAGTTATATTGGCGCTGCATTAAGCGAGCCCTTTCTACCGAATACATCTCAAAATATTATATGACGTGGTTATTAAGACGACTGACTATGGCAGTCAATGAAAGACTGCACCTGTTGAACTGAGATAACACAGCTATCCTAAGTGAAACTGATTGATACAAGAGATTTTATGACTCGACACTTTTCTATTGGTAGAGGCGCTGCGATATTTGTCTCTATATGCCCGAACTCTGATTTGTCCAGTGGCTTATTCTACTGTGGTAGTGTTAAACTAATTTCCACTTGTTGACATCCATTTTTCCATATTATAAACAAACTAATATGGAATTACTTACTACCACAGTGCCCAAGTTTTACACATATTGACATCCATTTTTAGTAAGTAATTTACTTCTACTGAGCATTATTCCTTTCTTAATTTTCACACTCATCAAGTGGAAACTCAAACATCTCGCACTTGCCCTCTGATAACAACCTTCTGCTTATCAAATCTCAATTGGGGATTCCAAATCAAAAATGGTATTTGACAACAACTTACGGCAACTCTGGCTTAATAGACGTGATATCCGGCTGGCTGTCTACCAAGAGACATACGTGTGCACTGCACAGTAGCAGACGTTCGCTGCATCCTCATTTATGGCTGGCTGCACCTGAGACATTACAGCCATTAATGACTGTGGAAGATGTGAAAAAACCGGCCGACCAGCTGTCTTTCATCATCCATAGGTGTCTGCGTCCTATCTACATCCCGTGTTAGGTTAGGTGTAATAGGGTGATTAATATGGAGGCAATGTGATGCATCAGTGAAGTGCTGCACTAGGTAAATAGGGTGGAAAATCGTCAATAGACGAGGTTGTGAAGCAATTACATGAATTCAGTGAGATGTTTAGGACATGCGTTACGTGTGCATCCGTAGCCATCCACGATTAACCGGGGATGTTAGCTTGGATGACATAGGATAGATGATGGGATCAAGTTGGTCAAACGAATTCATGGCTGGCTTCATTAGTCGGTCAATGAAATCTATTACAATGGTTAGTTTAAGCCAGTCAGCCAAATAGGGAGATGTAGGCTGGCTGGTTGCGGTCTTGGGGATAACGGTAAGAACCAATTTAGCCTCGAGACAATTGGTGATATAGCTGGCTCATAATCCTCGTTGTCAATGATGGCGCAGATGCATTCACTCTTTGTCATAAAGAGTAAAACTCTATTCTTCTCCCATATTACTATTCTCTACCCCTCACACTTCTGTTTATTATCTGCCTTTTGAATCTCTCTTCTTTTGCGTTGTGTATGCTACACGGAGCATGGAGAGTGGTAACTGGAACTGCTGCTGCATATCTGTGCAAAGTTCTACGTTGAATCCAGTCAATCAAATTTCAAACGATTACTTCAGTAGTTTTGGTAATTACTACTGAGTAATCCATTTTTATCTTTAGAAACCACTTGTATGTGTGTCAATGATTCGTCACAACCCTTACCTGTTCAACAGCACAGAACACCATTATACGTACTTGTTTACTTGAATACAATTTGTACAATATCTTAGGATGACTTTAATCGATGAAGAAATGCTTTCTGATCACTCCGAACTCAGTGTGGGACTCTTTTGTACTACGTAGCATAAAGAACAAGATTCCGATTTTCAACATCAGTGTCAAGTTACTTAGTTCCTACTTCTATACAGGGGTCGGAGACTTGACATTGGTGCCCGCGTCACTTAAACCACTTTCAACAGGCTACTACTGAAGACTTTTATCAACAGCTACCGACTTCCCTGGCTGCATATTGAATATCAAATGGCCGGCATATTATCACCCACGATAATATTCCTCATCGTAGTGGACTGGATTGTGCGTGAGACTGTGTATGCCCGGACGAGATAGGAATATGCTGGGCCAATAAAAAGACTCCAGAAGATCTGGATTTCGTGCGTCAATGATTTTTGTCTAATTCCACAAAAACTCAAAGACTTACACTTGAAAACCAACAAACTTAATGAAGAAGTTGGCAGAGACTACAGGACAGGACTCCAGGTGAACTTACAATTAACGGAGATAGGTGACCAAGATAAACAACCAACCAACAGCAACAACCAGCAAAATCAAACGGAAAAATTTGAAAGACGCTACTTTGTGTCTTTACTTATCTAGCCAGCCAGCATAGTTTCAGCTACAGACAATCGGTGCAACGAATGAAGATGTCAGAGCCAGTTAGTCAGGATCAGAAAGGCAAAATACACCTTCGTCATCACTCTGAAATCAGTTTGGAAATCTTCTCCACTCTTCAGCATAAAGAACAAAACTCGAATTTTCTACAGAAACGTTAAGTCAGTTATTGCTTTTATATGGGTCTGAAACCTGACCAGAGATTCACGAAAAACATTTCCAATAGGCTACTGCAGACTTCTTTTATCAACAGCTTCCTACGCTCCAAACTGTCAAACAAATATTCCGAAGAATATGGAGATGGATCGGGTAAACCCTGAGAAGACTATTGAGTGACATCGCACGGTAGGTACACTCCGTCTCGAGTATTAGTCGAATGGGTGGCGGCAAATGACGAGTTGGGCATGTATCCAAGGGTGACGTGGAGGGGATGAGAGCCTTTGGGCAATCCTGAAGTTTAGCCAGCCAGTTAAAGTAGGATCTCATACAATAGGACGAGGTGGAGAAGCTATACTATTGAAGCCCTATATTCTCTGCTTGGAACCCGAGAGAACAATAAACAATAAATAATAATAATATGATAATGTCTTTTTTATTTTCAAAACAATATTTAAATAAGTACAGTATATGTGATATACAAATTGAGGTAAACAAATTTCTGCCTAACAAATGATCACTCTTCTTCTCAATGATATAATATATAACGCAGGGAAAAGTGGGGAAGATGAAATGAAAATAGAAAGAAGATCCATTCCGTAGACATCTCTATTTACATACAGACAAACACACATATATAAGCGAATCAGGAAGTAGGCCAATTAACAAGAAGCAAAATATATTGTTGGTAAGCACATCACATGATGAGCACAGAGGAGACGAAAACGATTTACAGGAAGGACACACATACACATACACACACAATGAGGAATAGTTCCACCTTGCTGACCTGTTCTGACCCCAGAAGACTGTATATACATACATACATAGACAGAAGAAAAGAAGAAGATCGAAAGCGAGAGAGTATAGAATACTGTATACACTTCAATGAATCTATAAGGAACAAGTAGGACATTAACAATCGTAATTGTATTATCACAGTTGCCTCTTGTCAATGTCATACTTGTTGTTCCTTCCCGCCTTTAGATAATTTGGCTCTTTCTCACACACAAATCCAAGGAGAGAGAAGCAGATGAAGAAGGAGGCGACGGCGGTGGAATATAAACAGGAAGAGATTGAAGAATTCACTGATAAAGACAAAGGAAGTTTCATGATGATGATTATTTGGTTGGTTGTGCGCTGGTGATTGACCGATTTTGTGTGTGTGTGTGTGTTTGTGTTGATACATGGATATAAAATATCAAGGGAGAATCTCATCTTACACACAACACAGTGTGTCCTGCAACTCATCTTTTATGGCAAGCAAAATCAACCGATTGTGAGCTGTAAGCTATTTGTATCAGAGGTAATAACAAAAATCAGTCAATCAATCAAGTGAGGCAAGGTGAGGTGAATGAAGAGTATTCACAGAATACTATACAGCCAGTAGTAAACTACACATAATATATGATGCACTTTTTCTGGTCTTACTAAAGCTAATTGTGAATTGAAATTTGCTGTTTTCAAAAAAAAAAATTATTTATTCCGTACATCACCGATTTGATGACGTTAAATATTTCTCCAATTCAGTTAAAGAATTATTTGCATCCACCAGTAGCTGAGAGGTGTGTGGAGAAATTAAGAGGAACAAAAAAAAGAAAAAAATGTAACAGGGTATTAAAAAAAAATATAAAAGGGGTATAGAACAACGCAAGGCATAACGTGCCAGCTAAACTCCTTTAACATACTGAATTATTTCAAACAAACAAAAAATCCTCAGTATTACAATGACATTTAAAGGGATTTAGGGTAAGATCGTTTAGCTTTGACCACCAGCGGATATCTAACAAAAATCTATAACGTTTAGAGCAGCCAGATTGGCACTAGACAATTTTCAATGTTAGTTTGTTTATTTACGCCATAACAGTTTATTGCTCAGTTATAGATGTTCTATACCACGCATTGAATCACTCCTATTGAATGTGCACTCAGGTGATTCAATGAATAAACTATTGAGCGGTAAATAATTCGTCGGCTTGTTGTTAGGCTGAAGGTACGTTACGTTGTCAAGTATCCACATCATTTGGTACACTGTTGTGTCACGTTCATTCGCAAACGAACCCTAGCTAGTTGAGCAACCATCATCACTCCATGTTTCTGATTCGCAAAAATATATATCTCGTATTCTGAACGATTGAATTGGTGTTTTTTTATTCAGTTGTCTCTCGTCTCAGTAGAACAAGGTACCATGCGAGGTATAGGATAAACACGTGTGTGTGATCACTTATTCCATAGACTTCTCATCAGCTACTTGTAGCCCATATAGAATTGTTATTCAGTTTATGTACAGTAACAAAATTCACATGTATCTGCACGAGCAATTGCATTGAGAGAACAGAATGAAGAAGGGCACACCTCCGAATTGCTGGATATGCACCAAAAAGTCTGCGTATCGCAAGAGGACGAACACTTTCAATAGTGCCATTACCAGATATATTCTTGGACATCGCAGGATTCTACAGAATTATGTCCTCAAGTTTAACAAATCAATATTCATCAAACACCTGGAATTCAGTTTATGTGTTAGGAAAGAAGCAATTGTCAGTCTTTCCTTACCGCCCTGGTAACAACTGGATATGTTTTTCTCTCTCTTTCATTTGATTACGTAACACTGAAAATTTCATTCTGTATGATTGTTATTGCTTGAAATAAAGTGATTATTTATTATTATTAGTATTACACGCAAACATTTGATTTTTCGTTTAAACTTGAACTCACTGGATAAGTATGTTAATACTCTTTTTGTATATAAACTTAATAGTAATATCTTCAGGCCGTAAGCAGGTAGTGATGAGAAACCAAGGAAATAATGATGGCACCATTTTATTCTATACAAACCACCACTGTTGTGGTTTTTTATTCACAATCATGAAACCGCTTGTCTCAATTGAGATGTATAATTCTCAGTAAAACGTAAGAGAATCTAAGGTGACCTCTTCTTTAAAAAAACATAATGGTAAGGGATTTCTTAGTGGAACATAAGGCTTCAAGCTAGAGAGCTTTGGAGTTTCGGTGACATTCGGTGATGACATTCGTTTTTACGGAGTGAAGTTACTAGCTTCACTCGCGGCCGACCCTCTCCCTCATCAACAAGTTTAGAGAGGAGTGCGTTGGTGGCCGGGGGTTGAATCCCAAACCATTTGAAGCGTGATTGGTTGGTGAGCATTCTGCCCACTGTACCACCTACGTATAAACATACAAGGTATAACCCATCTAAACTCCTTTATAGGGTTGATAGCTTAAAATTTGGCCTACCGAAAACGACCTCCATCAATGTGGTTTGCATATCATTTACCTTGTTCAAAACTAGTAAATTATGATCTCTAAAGGTATTGTTTACTCTCGTGAGTATTTAAAACATTGTAAGCCAGTTCTCATTCGCAGGTTTCTACTAATTATGTGAATAGGCGTTATCCAACTTGATGAATGCCATGATTATTTCAATACATAAGATGACCGTTCCTCAGTGTGGTGTCCTCCTCGGTTCACCAAAATCTACTCCTGAACATTTTTTATATAATTCGCATTCAATAAAATGTCGTGTATTTCACGAAGGGGAAAACAGGAGATATATCATAATGATGGATTGGTTTGCGCTTCAGATCGGATAGATAGAACTGTATCACACGATCTACTGTCAGTCAATTAATCTTTTATTTGGAGATTGTAGACAAAGAGGAAATATCATATAATAAAGTTCGCTGAAATTTCTGTACATTATATAAGCACTGTTCAAATAAAGCTGGTGGCCACCTACACTCTACACCAGTGGTCCGGGTTTGATATTATATATCCAACCGACAAACTGAACCTCGTCTTGCCAATAAATAATAATCTCCAGAAAGAGGTAAAACTCGGGGGAGGGATGAGCCTAGCAGTCCCACCCACATGCCCCTGTACACAACTAATCAGTTAGCGCTCACTCACTCACTCAAAAGATACTGCTTTTCTACCACCACTCGGTGAACTGCATCTTGAGTTATAAATTTATAATGTATGCCTTGGTGGTCACTTGAGATGAATCACGCTCATTGTCATTTCGCTTGAGATACTTTAGCTGAATAAGAGTTGTTAATCAGTAGCTAGGACGAAGCAGAGAATTTCACTTCACAACTAGAATACATTTGACTCTAAGTCACATTTATGTAGGCTTATCAAGTGTTAGTTTGCAGGGATGCGTGACTGATCACATGAGCTGACATTGGCTACCGAAATATTGGAAAACCAATAAGAAGTACTATACTGGACAGCTATTTTGTCCGCTTGGGATTCCGCTTCAGTAGTACGCATCCATCCACCCACCCAGGACCTTCTGATGTTAAAAGGCGGGCTTCGTTACGCCACGAGTAACAGGAAAGTCTTGTGGGTTGGAACCCTGGTGGCGTGTGTGTACCGATGAAGAGTCCCAAACTAGGGAGACGCAAACAGCTGTCCAGTACTACCAGATTTTCCAATGGTTCTCTAACTGATATCAGCTCAACTGATCAAGTTGAACCTGCTTTTCAAATCATATCTAATACCAAGGAAGTGCATCATAACGTCGTACAAGATAGTAAAAAAGATTTTTTAAAAACATTCAGAAAATCCTTACCTCATCAAGTTGGAAGCAAAGGAAGACAGACTGAATCTTGGTACGAGCTTGTCGTGAAAAAGTATACGCACCGAGGAGATCAGCGATAAGTGTATATGTACAAGCATTGAAAAGTTGAATGGCGCCTTTTGAAGTCTGTTGAACCTTTACAGCCTTTTTTATCAGATGATCTAATCCAGTATCCCCACGAGATGATGAAAATACACTCGGCATTAAACTGCATATCGAATCTACTAACTGATTATACCAGATGTCTTGTTCTGTTAGGACTGCTTCATCACATTGACAGTCTACTGTGAAAAACAAAATTTTCAGAAAATTCTCTCTGTTTATAATGTCATTAGAAATATTAAATTTCCCAATATTGATTCATATTTATCTGTAAAGTACAGTGCTGTTCGTACTTCCCATATATATATATATATATATATATATATATATATATATGTATAAACAGTTGCTATCAGTTCCTGTTGAGAGAACGATTTCGAGCCATATCATCACCAATTATTTCCAGACTTCACTGATTCCTACCATCATCCACAAGACCGCAACCAAACAGCCAGTCCTAACCTCTCTAAGTGGCTGGTTGACTTAAACTAACCAATGCTATGGATTTCACTAACAGACTGATGAAGCCAGCCATGTTTTCGTTTGACCAACCTGTTCCATCCTTCCATCCATCCTGTGTCAACTAAGTTAACATTGCCCGTTAATCGAGGAAAGCGATCGATGGATGGATGGATGGCTAGACAGGCATGCGTGACATATATCCTATCCATCTCACTTAATCCATGTAACTGTTTGACAGCCTTGTCCATTGATGATTTCCCTACTGCTTACATAGCACAACACTCGACTGATGCCCCACTTCACTTCTTTAATACTCAAACACCTACTACCTAACGTAACACGGGATGTAGATAGAACGCAGATACCTTTTCATATCTTCCACTTGCAATGGCTGCCATAATCTTCAATTCGGTAATTATTTGATTTTCACCCATCCCTCTTATAGAATTTAGATGTCTTGTTACTAACATCTATTAGTTAATTGGTGTTTTGTTGACTTTCCATTCCCACTCCACCGCCTCCTATAACTAAAACGCATGGACTAAAATAAAATAGTGTAGAACCAGCCGATGATGATGATAATGAAAAACTAATTGAATTAAAGGGGGATGCATACTTCTTCCTTGCTCAATTTGTTGTTGTTGTTGTTGTTTGTGTTTTCTAAATGCGTTTTGAATGGGAATTTGGAATTAACTGACAAACTGACTCCTAACAATGCACCACTACTTAATATAGGCTAAAATGTGAGCATAGGAACACATCAAAACAAGACAAAAAACAAACATCACAGCTCGAATACAACACATACATACACAGAGAAAGAAAAATCCAACTAACCGTTATCAACATTGAGAGATGCCAAGCAGGAGAGGGAAAGACAACCATCAGGACTGAAACCACTTGATTGGCGGTGACAGGATGATTTACCACCACTTGCTGCTTTATTATTAGCCTTATCGTCCTCACTATCAGTATCATTCGCAGTGTTCAGAATTGGCGAAGGATCCAGTGGAGTGTTAGGATACATTAACGTCTCAGTTGGAGTGTTATTATGAGATGACAGTTTGATATTTTCACTAGTAGCTAAATTTGTCTTATTCACATCATCAGAGGAAATGAGCCAATTACTGATCACATCCAATTTTCCCTCAGTAGGAGGAGGAGGCCTTGATTCGCTGTGGTGAAGTGATAAACAGACAGTTTTGAAAGGTGCATGAAATAAAGAAAGAGGTAGACAAAAGAGAGTCCCAGTGGTTAAGTTAAAACCCAAACCAGTGAATTAGTCATAATTAATTCCTGCAACAATATAGATAATAATGAACAATAATACCGATAACAATAACAAAAATCTGATTTCAATTGCTTGAAAATGTATAGCTTAGTCGATCCATAATAGATAAGTTTATTTTAAATATCATCACACAGCGATGACTCAATATTAACGACCGGATGACAAGGTTCCTACTAATAATCATATGAATTTAGTCACATGGTTTGACAGTCTGTCCCTCCCTCCATCTTGTCTTTGTTATTTGGTATCAATTTCCATTTCTTCGGTATATAGGCTTTGCGTAATTTCCATTAGCTGAGTGTGTGTGTGGTATTGAATTGATAAGCAAAGATCCAGTGTTTAAAGCCGATGTCACTGTCTCCTCCTTCTAACTATATTATCTTTAACTATTCTCACCCTGTCCCACCCAACCTATCTTATGATTATATGCATGTGAATGCATTACAACGGGTGAATTTTCCTCCAGATCACTTGACATTTAGTGGCCTTAATCATTCTAGATCCAGTTACATTTCTATGTTCCAATAGTCAAACTGACACATATCTACCAGTTTGACTGGACTATGTATTTGACCTCACAGTCATTACATGGTATTCGATAAATTGTATTATTATTCTTAATTGGGATCAACTGGGCATGTCCTCAGGCTGACAAAGTTTATCTCTCAGAGAGTTTGTTGGTTGATTGGCTTCAATGACCACCACCCTAATCCCAGCATCATTTAGAATTATACGTAGGGCCTCTGATGTTCCTTCCTTCTTTATACGGTAGTACTACAGAGGTTTCGAATTCTATATCAATTTTGTCATTTTCATTACTAATCTCATATTTCCTACGGTGCCTCATGGATTTCTGAGCAAATTCTGGTCGGTGGTTATTCACTAGTAATATTTTCCTGATTTGCTTGATCTCATTATCTAAATCTTCTGATTTATCAGTTAGGCAGCCTCCTGGTTCGATTATATAGACATTTAACTAAACCTATCTTCCTTTACTGATTCTGGATGGGATGAATTAAAGTTTAAGTAGTATTTAGTAGCGTGTGTGTCGAATTCCTATGAATGCCAGTATCTAACCGACTACATTGTTTTCGTTTTATGCGACAGTCTAGCATGGACAACTCTCCTTGTTCATTTTCCAACTCAGAAGTCAATTGGATTCCGTCCACTATTACGTGTATATATGTGTGAAGAAGTGAGCGATATGTTCAGATTTCAACACAGTGTGTCGTCTTACATGTCTCCACCATAATTTACCTAGGAGCAGGATTAAAAGTCCTAAGTGCGTTATGTTCTCAGCCGTCCATAAATACGTCTACTACCATCGTGGATATTGGGGATTCCAATACCAACCCGTTCGTTTGTTTATATAGTTTATTTTGAAACTTGAATACAGTAGACGTCAGGCATAACTGAACACCTAAGATTATTACATCAACCTTTGAGTTCAGGATGAATGTCCGTTTTATTGGTAGCTGCTGCCTTCATAGCTGTATATTAATTTAGATAATAATTTACGAAATGGTTATGTCAAAACTAGTCATTTTTGCATCTTTTTCTAATTGAATTTCATCCAGCTTCCGTTTCATTATGTAGGAATTAGTTGACCTAGAACTGACGTATTTTTATTCAGGTTCAAGATAAATAACAGAGAAAAATAGCTCGGCTATTGAATCTCAATGACTTGCATGTATTCACACAATAGGGTGGAACAGGGTGGAAGTATTAAAATGTAATATAGTTAGATAGAGACAGAGACAAAGAAGTTAATCAATAAATCTTTGTTCACCGACTCAACACCGCATACGTGCAATCGGAATGACACAACGCCTATATACCGGAGATATAGAAAGCGACAACAAACAACATGGAGAAGATAGAGGGAGAGACAGAGAATATATATATATATAAAGACAAATTGTGAGACCGTGTGACTGAATTCATACGATTTTGAGCAGGAATAATTTATGCTCGAAACCAGTTGTTAATCCAGTTGTTAACATTGAATCATCACTGTGTGATGATATTTAAAATAAACTTATCTAATATGGTATTACATTCTACCAACACAACACCCAATTTCTACGCTTACAGTAACAGTTTATTCACCGTTTATAATAAAGCACGGGTGAAAAGAGTTGGCTAGTTGAAATGGTCTCGACTCCACTTATCTAAAAGATGTAAAACCCAGTCATTTCCTGAAACACTGTGCATTATTACTATTATTAACCCCTTGGATTCCGAGGCGGATACAGAGAGCTTCGACAGAACATTTTATGTCACTTTTTTCTCTAGAAAACTCTATTTGCTAGATGGCTTCACGATCGCGCACATGCTTTTCTTTTCCTCACCACACATGATCTCAATGTCATGGTTGCATCCAGCCAAGAGTATAACACCCACATCATTCCGCATTCCGGTCCCACTGAAGTGATGACCTGGTCTGGCGCTCATTGTCACTCATCAACAATCTCCTCAGCATGTGTCCGCTCCATCTTCATTTTTGTTTTCGCGTATTTGTTCAGTAACAGGTTCTTCGTTGGTTCATTCCTAGAGTTCATTTATGACTCATTCTTTCTGGCCAACTGTTGATAAAAGTCGGTAGCTGGCTGCAGGAAACGCTGTTCATGACACACACACCCATGTAGAAGAACTAACTGACTTAACGTTTCTGTAGAAAATTCGAGTTTTGCTCTTGATGCTGAGGAGTGGAGAAGATTTCCAAACTGATTTCAGAGTGAGGACGAAGGTGTATCTTGCCTTTCTGATCCTGACTAACTGGCTCTGATATCTTTATTCGTTGCACCGATTGTCTGTAGCTAAAACAATGCTGGCTGCCTAGATTAGTAAAGACACAAAGTAACGTCTTTCAAATTTTTCCGTTTGATTTTACTGACTGGTGCTAGTTGGTTAGTTATTTTCACCACCGCCATCTTCACTATGTCCCGCTGAAGTCCTGTATTCCCTGCCAGCTTCTTCAGTTAGTTTGTTGATTTTGTGAAGTGAGACATAAATCATCAACGCGCGACATCCAGATCTTCTTGAGTCTTCTTTTCGCTCCTCTTTAGCTGGTTGCTTTCACGACTGCCCATAGTCTCTCATCTCCTCCTCAATACACGATTTCCCCTATGTCATCCTCGGACGTCTGTCTATAAACGATATATGAATCACATATTTATTGTATGAAGAGTGATAATACACTATCCGGTCGCCAAGTGTAAAGTAAGCTTCAGGACTCCAACTCAGTGTTATATGCCACTAACTAAAGACTAGCTAGAGCTGGCCAGAATTCAAATTGTATGAGCATTGACTACCTATCTATTAGTCACACAAAAAGGTATCAGATTTCACCATATTTTATTCCTATACGTTCCTAGTGGAACATCATGAAGCCACAAAAGCAAGAGCTTTTTGAAATTTTTGTAGCAGTGGTGTTCTATATCACACCCAACCAGATCTACTACCAGTTAGGCGACAAGGGTTAGCGAGGAGTGCATCGGCCGAGGATCCAACTCTGGACCACTTGAGGTGTGGTTGACGAGAGCATTCTATCGCTGCACTACCGAGTCTATACTATAGTATATAATTCTTTATCACGGAACTTATTTGACTATTATTGTCTTTCAGCTGTTCTGTTGGCGAAAACGTATCTGACGATTATTCCTTGGCGTCAAACAAATTTGTTAGTGAATTGTGGAATTTTTATTATTATCACGTTTATTACTTTTAATAGGAATTCGCGTGAACGATCATTCAGGGAGCACACTTACTCGAGTTAATATTGATTATCTGATTATTCCACAGAGTAAGAATAAAATGAAGAATGCAAGATCACAGGCGACGTAGTTATCTGTGAATTATGTACTGCGTGTAAGGTACAATGAAAAGTTACGCATCGAAGAAAATTCATCAACAGAATATCATTCGTTCACAAAAATCCTCTTTGCAAAAAACTACGATAAGGCTTATATGAAAAAAGGACCTGATAGCGCTCACGATGAATGAGCAATATAAAGGAAAGTTCTCAGGAAGAACACTTCAACTACGGAAGAAGAAGAAGAGCAACAACAAAAATGACAAATGTACAGTCACACTTAAGGAAAGTCAACTGCAAGAAACAAACCAGCCTAGTTGGCAAGTATTCAAACATGATCGACAGAATTCAGTCTCCACCAACACGAAAAGGATTAGACACATTACACTAGTTACTAGCTAGCTAGCGTCACCGATACCTGTGTGTACATGTTAAATAACTGATATTAAATGAGTTGGGGGTGGGGACGGAAAAATTCACTTACGCGTCTTTATGAAGCAAACAGCTCTCGGACGGTGGCAAGGAATTGGACGAAGATAAAGGTGGTACTGAAATCTGTTTCATCAATTCATCCGATTTAAGAGAAACCTTTCGACTAGTTTCATCATCATGAGACGATGAATAATTTGAAGTACCAGTAACTTGGATACTATCAGAGGAGTACAGTTGATTCTCGTTATCTGAAGTACCACTATTGATCACACCGTCTGGATTCGATGTATCCACTGATATTTCATCCGCTGGTATAGACGATAAAGTAGAGGAGCATTTCCGCTGGCTATATGCAGACAATAACATTTGAGCATCAACAGCAACATCAATGAAAGATCTGGAAGGTTTAGAGGAAGATTTCTGTGCATTCGATAGTGCCATTGAACAGCGTAGATGATCGAATTGTCTACAAGTGAATGATTGATTAGCAAACATTGGTGATTGCTGAATGAACTGATCGGTGTTTTCCACTGTAGTGGACTTCTTGTTTCCAAGAATATGTATATCTTTCGGAAGACAAATCAATTGACGTTTATTTGTAAGGTATACATCAGCTGATGAAGTCCATGAATGATCGATGATCGACTTGTTGTTATTGTCATTGTTCATCGTATCACGATCACAGACAGGAGATAATCGACTTGACGGCAGTGGTGCAGTTAGGCTGAAAGATATATTCAAATTGCCACAGTTTGTCAGTAGTATAGAAACAATAAGAATAAAATTTTGTTGTGTTATCAGAGACTGAAAGGTTCAAAGGTTACAACAACAAAACAAAAACAAAGTCAGCTAAAAATATAATACATCCATAAAATACTAGCATGAGTGTGCAAAGACTGACTGACTGGTTTCACCATAGAACTTTGCAGAGATGGTCCTTACCAACTCAACGACCTCAACTAGTGAGTCAGGAAATGTACACCTTTTTACTTGGAATTCATTCGATGATGAAGCCCGCCATATTCTCGTTTCACCACCCACCATGTGCTGTTAGCTAGCTGCTTTCCGACATGTCCTGATCATCTTACTCAATCCATGTAACTGCTTCACAACCTCGTCCACTGAGGATTACCCTCCTCCTTGCATAGCACAGCACTAGGCCGATGCCTCACGTCAACTCAATATTACTCACCCTTTTTACACCTACCACCTTAACTAGCACGGGCCGTAGATACGAGGCAGCCAGCCGGATATCACGTTTACGCCAGAGATGGTGTTGGTTGGTTGGTTGGTGAATGCCAAACGAGTCACCGTTAACTAGACAGCTGTACACTCGTGTATTCACAGTGTAGTGAGTGGGTGAGAAAGTTCCAGAAGTCTATTTCAGGTCGATCAGTAGGTCAAATTAATGCAGTTACAAAATTCAGTAAACAGGAAAATCGGACAGAAAAGACAGTAGGATAATAATTACTGAGAAACTTGACTTCCTTTGCACAATTAGGGATTAGAAATGCAGTAGTAACAAAATGGACAGAAAGTTCGGATACAAAAAAACTAACTAACTAAACTAGTAAAACATACTTCGCCGTCAGCCTACGAGTGATATTTTCTTGTGCAAGAAACTATTCAACCAGCACATACATGAAAGACAAGCTGTCACCTACATCAGGCTATTTCAACAGGCAAAGACCAGTTGACTTGCTCGTGTGAAGCCAAATACACTGGCGCCGTACCATGTATCCGCTTGTAAAGTGTTCTCAGGAACACTAAATAATCTGGCTGGCCAGCAAAGGGAGGACACACGAGTGTATGTAGTTCAGTTACAGAACATATGGTGGTGAATTCAGGATATTCAGCTTCATTTGATGAAAAGTTCTTCACAGTCGTGTATAAAAGATCCGATCAAACCCCTCTTGCAAAGGAAGGGAGTGAAATCAGTACATCTCTACTTGGGAATAGTTGAAGCGCAAGCAATCCAAAAGTGCAAACCCACGACGTTATGTATTCAAAAGAAATACGTCCATCTAACCGTTATCTCTATCATGGCCATCATAAAAAGTTAGTCACATCACAATGATGATAAGCCTGTTGTTTTTCTTATCCAATCTCTCTGTTTATTTTCGCTATTTTTACGTTTTTTCATCCCTATCATGGCCCAGGAGTGAGAACGCTCCAATCGTCTTGATCGAATACTAATTGTTACATAAAGTGACCTACCGTTATTATATGGCTACTTTGAAGGCTATTCATGAAGTGAGGCGCAAACTTCGACCCAATCTCGTCTTTATGCACTGTTTGGACAATGTGTTAATAGCTCGTTAAGGTTACTGTAACGATTAGGTTTAGGCTCAGGGCTTTAATTAGGGTTAAGGTTAGGATTGAGGTTATGGTTGCGTTTAAGGTTTCAGGATAAGAGCAATAAACAGGTCACATAAAATACTCGTCTTCAGTTAGCTAGGTAAATACATGCAGAGAAACTGGTCTTACTTAAGAAATGATACTCCCTCCTCAATATAATTTGGAGGCATTTTCAAGTCGTATAAGGGAAAAGCATCTTGCCTAGTGTGTTTTATAATTATTCTCTAAATTTCTTTTGTACAAACGGTCAAGTTTTCAGTAATTATTATCCTACTATGTCATTTCTATCCAATCTTCCTGTTTATTAGACTTTGTAGTTTTATAAATTTGATCTTTACCCAACCGGAAATAGACTTCTGGAACTTTCTCACAAATTCACTACACTATAAATACACAAGTGTACAGCTGTCGAGTTGACGGTGACTTCGTCGAAAAGAAAATTTTCTTCATTGAAACCGTCTTTTTAATAAAAAAAGAAAAGTCCAAAGGAAAAACAACTTACACAGTTTGTCGGTGTTGTATACAATTTCGATGTGTCCATGTTAAATAAGGCTGTTGGCTGGAAGATAACAAACTGCTGTTTCCATGTGGTGGTATTTCACAAGTGAATGCAGGAAATTGTGATGATGAGGTTAACGATGAATGATTCGACCTATTGCATGATATGTGATGTTGTTGCTGCTGTGGATTACTTGAAAAACAAGACGATGATTCACAGGCCGGCGGAGAAAAACGTCTATGATTAGGTGAACAATGACGATGAAACCACCAGCGACGTCGTGAACGATTGAAATTTTCAATTACTTGACTTCGAATGGACGGTTTCGAAGATTTTCGGTCAACAACAACGTGTTTATCTGTTTCTGTGATAAAGAGGTGAAAGTATAATACAAATTTTACTAAAGTGCTGGTTTACAGCAGGGATTTGACTGGCGACGGGGATTTCATCATGATGAGCTAACATCTGGTTGAAGAGAACACCATCAGAAAACCAGCAAGGCAGCTGTGACCAGTAGTGGATTACAACAAGTGGTCGAGTGTGTGGGGACAAATATTCGCCATCGAAGACATTGGCTAGTATCAGTTGCGCTATATCATGCGTGAATTGTCAGAAATTGGAACTTATCGGCTGGCCATTGGACCGATCAGGTCCCACTGGCTGACGAATGGTCTACGAGCTAGCTCGCTTTGTGTAACCAGAAGGTGGTCCTAGGTTCGAACCTTGGAGGTGAGTGGGTGCATCTTCCTTCCTTAATGGTTTAGAAAAGGCCAAATAAAACCCATGCGAAGTTCTATTCTGTGTCATTTGATTGATGATAACGATCACAGAGTGGAAAGAAGTACGTTCATGGTTGTCTATCGCATTCTATCGAAACTTTCGAACGCAATTCGAACTCGCCTTTGAAAGAACGATCCTAGTGCCCTATTTTAATTGCATTTCATAATAATAATAATAATAATAATAATAATAATAATATTATTATTATTGTATGTATTCACACCTTAGATTCACTTCTCTCACCGAATATAATTTCGTAATATGAAACCATATATATATATACGATTGTACAGCCGAATGATAATGAATTCGTTGAAAAGAGTCACTTCGCTGAATCCCTTATTTTGCTTTCCTATATATCCCGATGGAAATTTTCCACGAATTAAACAACAATATAACTAATACATTATCAGACATTATGAACAAAAGGAATGTCAAGCATAGCTTACTGTGCTCAGTTTCGTAATGAACTGATGGACCAACGACATCGTATACATCAGAAAGTAGTCCGTTGTTAGACTGAAACGCATCTTGGTCAAACTTCACTGCATCAAGTTGTGTACTCGACTGGAGGGTTGTGTGAAACTCCAGGTTGTTGGAGTTAACATTCTCATTCTCATTATTCTTGTTACTATTACTACCCACATTATTATTATTATTATTATTATTATTATTGTTATCAATATATGGGATGAATGGCCAATCATTTGTCAACTCATCACAATCTAAAGGTTCACTGCATGCCTGTTGAGTTTTTGCAGAAATTGAAGAACCTTTGCACCTTCGAAAATATCCATTAGGACAGGAAGTAATTAAATTTAAACAAATCCATGCAATTCTATAGAAAAAAACAGATGAAAAAAAGTATTTTAAAAAATATAAAACATTGTATGGCGACATGGTTAAAAGTTACATAAACAAATACATAAAGATATAATAGAGAAGATTCGTAGCTCAGGTGGATGATTTTGGTGTGGTTGTGTTCTCTGAGCAACCAAACCATCCAACTCAGAGAACACAACCACACCAAAACAAATACATAAACTTTCGACTAACTGACTGACTCGTTTCAACATAGAACTCTGCGTAGATAGTTCATACCAACTCGATGACCCCAACCAGCCAGTTACGGAGACAGACAGCATACACCTACCAACCTGACTGGCTGGCTAGTTGACTTAAACTAACTAGCTGTGATATGGATTTTATTGACCGAATGATGGAGCCAGTCATGTTTTCGTTTGGCTACCCACCATGTGTTAGTTAGCTAGCTACCTTTTTTCCAACCTCATCCATCAATCTTATCTCAGCCAAGATAACACTGTCCGTCAGTCGAGGAAGGTGATCGATCGATGCATACGCAACACATGTAGTAAGCATCTCACGCAATGCATGTGACTGCTTCACAACCTCGTCAACAAACTGATTTTTCCTCCTCCTGCTTACCTAATACTCACTACACCGATGCCTCACTAACTCAATATTAATCACCCTATTACACCCACTATTTAACCTAACACGGAGTGTGGATAGAACGCAGACTACACCTATGATCAAAGACAACCGGCCAGCCGGACTTTTTATGTCTTCCATTTTCAAGGGTCTTAAACAAGTCTCTCATTTAACAAAACCAAAATATTCAAATGTAGGTTTGCATGGATTTGATTAGTTACAGGATTTCATCATGACATCAGTTAGGAAACCATTGGAAAACCAGTCGAGAGTACTGGACAGCTGCTTCATCCTAGTTTAGGTTTAGTCTTTAGTAGTACACACCCACCCACCACCAGGGCTCGAACTTACTGCCACCTTCCGATTATACAAGGCGATCTAGTTCATAGACCATTAAGTCACTGGGACCCAATCCAATGGCCAGTCCATGAATACCAACTTCTGCCGATTCCCGCACGATATAGCGCGACTGGCACGAGTTAATGTCATCGGTGGCGAGTATTTCTCCTCACATCCGATAAAAAAACAAAGAAATGTGAGAAGAAATCCCAACCAACAAAGAACTGGTGTCATCCTAAAAGTTCAAACAGCCACACCACATTTAGTGCTTTAGCCTTAGTTTTCGAACTGACTGGTAATAAATCACCGTGGAACTTTGCATCCAAAACAAACTGCCACATATCATGATAACACATAACGGTAAAAAAATGTACCAGAGAGCGTGAAGATGAGAATGGTTCAGAAATGGATTAGCCACTACTATATACATAATTCAGAGCTTTCCTTTCGTACGGAGAAGGGCTTTTGCTGCTGTGGACAGAAGATGCAGCTGGATTTTCGACATTAATGTCAAGTCAAAGACTGACTGACTTGACGTTGCCAGAGCGTCACGAAAAGCATTTCTCACAGCCAGCTGCAGACATTTATCACCAGCTACCCACTTCTCTGGCTCCATATTAAAATCAAATGCCAGGCCAGAAAGAATTAGCAAACAGGACACTATGTGAACAGTCCCAAAAAGTACTTACTGCTCAACAAAAACGCATGCGAAAGCGGAGATGGATAGGGCACACTCTGACTGAGAAGACCGTCGTATGACATCGCATGCAATGTAGGCCATCACTCGAAACGTAACTTGGAGAAAATTGTTAGAGGAGGAGGGGGGAAGAGACGAGAAATTATGTGGAACCGTGAGTCCAACTACAGAGGACAACAGAGAATAGGACAAAGTGGAGATGTGGTATACAGTTGAACACATCCTATGTTTCACTCGAAACCCAAAAAAAACAATAATAGTACATACAATAACAGATGATGTGATGAAAAAAGTATCGGTAATAAGAGAGAGAAAAAAAACACTTACGCTCTAACACTCATTGTATTCGAGTGAAGAGTAAGATTAGTGAATAGTTTCACCAGCTCTGGATGTTTAGATAACCATAACTGTCCAAAAGACGTTGAACAAGCGTGTGCTAAGGCCCACATATCAGCTTTCAGTTTAAGTAGTGTATTTGTATCATTGATAGAAGACTTTTCAAAATTTTCATCCATCATAGTAGTAGTACTTCTGCTGGATAATCGAGATTCATATGAACGTATATTTGCAACAGCAAGCTGTACAAAAAGAAAACAAAGTGTGTGAAGACAAAAAAATATTTATCAATATTTTTGATGATAACGCTATAGTAACAATAAAGCAATAAGCTGCATACGTATGAAGAATTTGCAATACCTCATACCTCGATTATAAAGAAAATTTTACTTCGATAGTCTCAGTTTGTTATACAGTAGTAATATTTACTGATAATGACGTTTTGAGCAAAATTTCTATTACTACTCACAATCATATCAAGGCACTATTCACACAACTTTTCCACTTCGTTTATATGATTCCACTATTTCTCATCTCTTTAAATAAAGCAAGAATAACAGTGGTTTGTGCAGAATAATATGGTACCATCATTTATTTCGTCGGCTTCTCATCATCTGCTTACAGCCTAAATAAATTGTAAGGTTAACGGACAGAAAAGTTTTAACATACTTGCAAATTTTACATGTTGTCAGTTGACAGAAAGTTCCACAATTAAAGAAAAGTGCTCAGAAAATTGTGCTTACGTAGTTTCTACACAGACAGTTCAAGTCAAAATAAATGTATGCATACAATGGTAAAGGAGTTACATAATAAAGACGAGAGGTGAGTAAGATGACGAGTAACTAATAAATTTGGTAACGATTTACTGAGTTCAAATCACGTCACAGAAACAAGAGACAAGCAATATTACAGATTATAAAAGAGAGGGGTGAGGTTAAAGACAAAGATTACGTAATCAGAGTAGAGAATAAAGACATCCAGTTACCATGGCAAGGAAAGACTAACAACTGCTTCTTTCTGAGCACATAAATCTGGTTTGAAGCGTTTGACAGAAATTGCTTCGGCAAACTTGAGAAGAATGGAGCTCCTTTGTCTATTGATAATTTTTAAGGATTTCTCGATTTCCACCTCATGACCTGTGTCGAGGGGATGCCTGGCGATGGCACTGTTTAAAGAATTTGTTCCCTTTAGACGTAAGCTTTTTGGTACATGTTCAGAAAATCGTAGATATGCTCTTCTTTCTGTCCTTCCAATTCTATGAACAAAGATTCAGTCAGCGACCAACCTCTCCTTCTTCATCTATCTATATTACTTTGTAGAATTGTAAGTCTGTCCCACTCCATTGTGTAGTTTATCGTGCGATTGCTGAGTTTTCTTCTCTCTAAATTACTTATCTTCGCGTGGTCAGTCAGAATAACCTACACCCAAAACAGCACATCAATAGGAATGACTCATCATCACTGGTACCTGAAATACAGAAAAAGATTACTGCCAATCAAATGAAGAGATGAGAAATGAAGTGGAAAAGTTCTGTGAATAGTGCCTTGATATGATTGTGAGCAGTTATAAAATGCTCGTCATCGGAAACTGACAGCAATATGGTCAATCCCAGTCCAGGCTTGATTCACATAGGGAGGATGCGCTACGGTGACGGTTGTGTCGGAAGTGGGTGCTACCTAGACATAGGTTGGGATCTGCGCAAAGCTGCAGAAGACGGTCCTCATTATCTGTCCTGCGACCAAGTCATTCGCACTAACTAACTAGAAGACTCTCCTGTGTGCCTAGACACCCGAGCTGAGCATTCAAGTTCACAGCCAGCACTACGATATCCCTCTGACGCGGGCCTTTCAGAAGATCTCTCAATTGGTTGTAAAACTTATCCTCAATTGTATGAGGGCTGCAATCCGTCGGTGCATTAGCAGGGACAAGAAATAGGCACCGCCTATCTGGCCTACAACTCCTTACTTTCGTATAACGTTCCAGTCTCACAGCACTTAAACGACTGTTAATGGGGATCCAGTCGAGTAACGCAGCTTCGGCTCCAGCACTTAGGGAGACACCGACAGCAGCTACGCCGACGCCACACGGTCCCCGTACAAGCGCACGTGGTGCATACTATTAGAACTTTCAGATGGAGAAGATATCTGAGGCACTTCACTGGGATCTTGAATGCAGGTTTCCAAAATGCAGCAGACATCGATAGCGAGGCTTTCCAATGTTCTCAGCAGAACTGCCCGTTGCCAAATTTGCATTAGTGTCCGAACATTGTAGGTAGCAAGCTTGAACGCGGCACGCAGCTTCAGAATGTCTGTGTAGAATGTCGCATTGGGGACAACCATTTTGACGGCTACTCACTGATATCTCACAGATTGGCTGGGAATTCAGACAAAGGCGAAAGGCTGACGAAAGTGAAAACACCAAGGGTAGTAAAATAAAAATATAAAGATGTGTAGAAAACAGGATTAAAAAAGAAAAGCGTTGCAAAAAATATTATCATTGTTCGTGAGCGTGAGAATGATCTTGTGAATAATTTTCCTTATTTTTGTTTCATTTTTAGTGCAAGGGCTGGGATATTGCCTGCCCGGGCGATCAGATTGAAGCAGATGGCTGTCTTAATGGCCCACCCCTGAGCCTTTGACTTGGAATCTCATCCCCAAGCAACAGAGCAGCGTCAGAAGCTACATTCCTATGGCTGCTAGTGACCAATACAGGTTTGTACGCCATTCAATCCGTTTGGATTCTGGAGCACACGTACCCCATATTAACTGCTTTTAGTCTAACCGCTATCCAAACAACTTACCTGGAATAGTACTACCTACAGGAACATAAATCCAAGGCAGTGTAGCTTTTCAGGTCATCGCGGTACTCAAACCCGACCACCATGACAAGTTAGCAGTTGTCGGCCGGGCTGCAAACGGAAAATACTACCACTATTACTACTACCAATCATCAAATCAAGAGATGAATGGAAATAATGGAATTATATATAAAAGAAGTGGGAAAGTTGTGTGAGTAGTAGTGCCTTGATATGATTGTGAGCAGCAATCAAATTTCTGCTCGAAATGTTATCATCAGTAAACAAATTTTTTCCATAATGAAATTATACTCTACCACAATACCCAAGTTCTATTCTTATAACAAGATGAGGGGGGGGGGCTTTGCAGTTCATCATTACTCATTGTTTGTTCAATGGGTTAATATCGGGATAATCAGGGTATTGTCATTCATTGCGGAGAGAGGGAGACTAAAAAATACACTTGATTGCAGAACTTTACCAACCTGGAACAAGCTGGATTCAGGAAGAGGAAATCATGTGCAAATCAAATTGCAACTCAACACATCCTCATCATCACCATCATCATCGAACACAGTCAACACTTTACTTGAGTTTCATCGACTTTGGAAAGACCTTCAACGGACAACGTTGAGCACGGAGTAATTTTTGGCAACTACTTCAACACTACAGAGTGTGCAGTGCTCCAAATCATCTTCATCAATCTCATTCAACAGTTAGCTATATGACAATGGCACACACATCAAGTGATCCACAACGGACAACTCAATGAGGCCTTTAAATTGAAGACAGGAGTAAGACAAAGCTGACTGCCTATTATCACCAACGTTGATATTCCCGATTGTGGTGGACCGGATTATACGAGAAAAGACGAATATGTTGTACTGTGATAAGAAGATTCTAGAATATATGGATTTCGCGCGTGGATGATTTACGTCTAATTTCACACAAATTCGAAAAAAACCCAACTAACAGGTGTAAGAAGCTAGCTAGCAGCAAAGACACAACTTCAAAGGAACACATACAGAAGACGTTAGTGATGAAAAACAACCAACTAACTAGCAACAGCAACAACACTGTGACACTTTATCATGGAAAAGCTGAAGATCACTTACCTCCAAATCCATTCTCTTATCCAATAAATCAATTCCATGGCGATGTTCAGCTAAGCATCCATAGGGATGTTTTAAAAGGGCTAGACAATGATAGCTATCGCAACCATTCGATAGTTGATGACAAGAAACCGATCTAGCAGTCGATAATGGAGGCGGTAAATAATAAGTGCCACGTCCATCATCATCATCAACATTATTATCAGCTCCTTCAATGAAGTAATTATCTTCAAAAGTGAACTCTGTATTACTTGGATGATCAACACCGTCTTCAAGATCATCATCATCATCATCATGATCACGATCACGATCATTCTCATCATTGTCTGTTGTAAAATTCACATAGGACGATTTCTCCAATCCTATGATACTGATGACTGGCAACAGTGAGTTTTTTGAATCTGATTCATCATTACCGTAGGAGGCATTCGTCGATTTTCGTGTTTCATAGGTAACAAACATCGATGTCAGGCGGGTATCCATATCTTTGGCATAGGCTTCATTATAATACTGTGAAGAAAAACAATTAGGAATATGCGAATCATTTTATAACTGTGGAGCATGTAAGATAAGTTTATTTCAAAATAGCACACACTGTGATGATGCAGTATCAACAAATGGATGGTGACAAGGTTTGGAGCATAAATTATTGCTGCTCATAATCATATTAATTTAGCTATACGGTTCCACAGTGTGTCTTAAAAACATTTTCTCTCTCTGTCTCACTCACCCTCTTCTCCTTGCCGTTTGTAAATACTTTCCATATCTCCGGTAGGCGGGCGTTGCGTCATTCCGATTGCACGTGTGCAGTGTTGAATCGATAAACAGAGATTCAGTGACTAATCTCTCCCTTTCTCTCTCTCTTCACCCACACACTCTATTTTGAGATTACATGCAGGTGGATGCAGTGCAACGCAATGGATGAGCTCTGTTTTTTTTTTCTAGGTTATTTAGCTTACTTAACAGGGTCAGTCATTCTACGTCTAGCTTAATCTTTATGTTCCGATAATGTAAAATTGATTTTGATCCACTTAGTTTGACTTATGTAATTGACCTCACTCACAGTCAATACATGTTACTGAGTAAATTATATAAGTTTTTGTTGATTGGATCAATCGGGTATGTCCTTAAGCCAACAGATATAGTTTATCTCTGAGAGAGCTGGTTGGTTGCTTGGCTCAAATGCCACCCCGACTAATCCCAGCCTCATCGATGATCCTACGTAAGGCATCTGATGTCCCTTTTTTATACGGCAGTACTACAGAGGCTTTGAATTCTAGATTATTTTTGTTATTTGCACCATTAATCTTATTTTTTCTATGGTTCTTAATACACTTCTGAATAAATTCTGGTGGGTAGTTATTCACTGGTAATATTTACCTGATTTGTTTGTTTTCATTACTTAAATCTTCTGGAGTACAGGCAGACAGGCTCTTGGTCCGATTACATAGACATTCAACCAGACCTATCTTCCTTTATCGATTCTGGATGGTATGAATTAAAGTCTAAGTACTTAATAGTGTGTCCAAGAGATCGGCGTGTGATACCTATCACATACTGTGGCGGGGAGGGAAAGAAGTAACGGGGAGAAGGAGGAAATTGAATCTTAGTTAGACAACAAACCACGCATATCGACATGCCCATGTACACATATCCACAACTGTCCATTACGTCACACTTTCTCTTCACATGATCTTCTCCTTCATATCAGTTTCAGACGCACAACCCATCACTTACTATTGCGACTCTATCTCCGTTTCTTCCTCTATATTTGTTGAACATTTAGTTTTTATGGTCCGATTCGCTGCCACCTTCCAGAGGTACCTCCGATTTATCCCTACTGGCCAACTGGCCATATCTAATCTTCAGTATCCACCGAATGCAAGCGTCGATGAAAGTATACCGGCTTTCTGTTTTCAAATGTGACTTACAAATAATTTGGCAAAAGAACACCTGATGAATTAGGAAATTCAGCTCCACTTGATAAAAAGTCATATACAAAGTCGAAAACAACTTCCCATCAAATCTCTCTTGCAAAGGGAGTATGATCAAGACATCTGAAGATTGCTGAAGCACTAGAGATGCAAAAGTTCAAATACCCATCCAAACATCGACTTCATTCTAGAAGTTGAGTCTGACTCAAGTTTCATTTGCTCCCCGATATTTAACTGAGAAGTATTGCCGATAACTCAGTGAGATCCATCAATCTACAAAAAGCCTACCCACATGGAAAGGACAGTTTATCAACTTAATTTAAAGTTGTGCTCCTCTAGGCAGAAAGAGAAACCCTTATATACTCTCTATCTCTTTCCACGAGGATCCGGGAAATATGCACCAAAGCATCATTTGACGAAGAAATGTGAAATCTCCGAAGGACCTGGATAGAAAATGGTTTCCCTTCATCCAGATTCATAGACAAGAATCTAAAACCAAAGAAAATGTCTGAAAAGGCCCAAGTCGCCCCCAGAAACATTCTGATGCATTTCCCAACAACTTACAGCATCTCTGGTCTATTAGAAGTGTTATCCGACTGACTGTGAGTGAGACATGGTAGCCATTGAAAGTGGAAGATATGAAAAGGCGTCTGCGTTCTGTCTACATCCCGTGTTAAGTTAGGTAGTAGATGTAATAGGGTGAGCAATATTGAGTTGGTGGGTCATCGGTCGAGTGGTGTGCTAGGCAAGGAGGAGGGAAAATCATTATTCAACGAGGCTGTCAAGCAGTTACATCCTTTGGGTGAGATAATTGGAGCGTGTGTTATGCATGCATCCCCTTAGCCATCGCTAGTGATCGCCTTGTTCGACCGACCGGCAATGTTAGGATAGAGGGATCAGGTTGGTCAAACGAAAACATCGTTTCATCAGTCAATGAAATCTATAACATACAACATAACACAATATGACTACTGCTCATATAAAGGGCGACTTGGCGATAACACACCAAGTACCGAGAGATATAAAGATACACTCATGTAAAACACACACACAATTGCGAAGAAATGAAGGAGTAAAGAAATGCCTACCTTTTTCGCAATATCTAGGATCCAGTTGATCGGATCGCATAGAATACTTGCCTGACCATTTTCCCCATTGGTATCGTTCGCTTCAGCATCATGACCATCATCATTCTCATCACCAGGAGGACGTGGAGTAAAATTGATAACACTAGATAATTTATCATTATCGGGTGATGTGTCGATGAAATCATCGTGTGGATTGTCTGAAGGAACACGACAATTCTTCTTCATTTTACTATTATTATTATTCCTTTCACGTGCATCATAAAAATAACCAACCAATGAATTTGGCTGTTTGATTATCTTATGCATATACAATTGATCAAATACATTTGTAATAGACAGGACTCTAGAAAATATTCTATGCCCAATTGGACCAGTGCTTGTATTCAGCAGATAGGCAGCAAAGCATGTCAAAATACTGCTTCGTTTGTCTTTCATTTGACTATTTCTTTGTAGAATATTCTGTGACAAAGCTTGTACATTCGCTGGATCCCAACATAATTCCTGCACAAAGTATAAAGCATTAGGAAGACAGGAATTTAAAAAAACAACACACAACTTAAATACATTTTTTAAGAGTTTGTTAGTTTCGCCTTAGTGCTTAGGATTCATTGACAGTGTATGCAACCACTCGAACGGCGCCAGATTTCGAACTGGGGACCACATGCCGGTTACAAGGCAAGTAAGCAGTCTCGTAGACCAATCATCAGCCACTGGGACCCGACTCCTCAATGGCCAACCTATGAATTCTAACTTCTACGCCAATTCGTCATTTTTTTGAGCAATTATCACCAACTTGCCAATGACGCCATCAGTGGGGAGTATTTGTCCTCACTCCAGACGAGTTGGTGGACCCTACAACGGTCATCAATTCTCACTGGAACTTCAGCCAACTTAAAAGATGCATATTTTTACCTTACGAAACCATTTACCTCAAGCTTTTCATTCCCATAATGGTGCAAAAAATATCCTCCATCGTTACTCGAATCATCATAAATGTTGTGTGACACTTAACATACACCTCAATACATTTACTAGCCAGATATAACTAAATTCAAATTACGAAACAACAGTGATAATTTGTAGATCTCAGATGGATGTTTCTGACAATGTGGTTTTCTTCTCTGAGCAACCAAGTGGTTCATTCAACTCTGAAGCTTTCATTGGTGTTTCTAGATAATGTGCTTCAGTAAAGACTTTTAGTATGAAGTGAGAATCCAAAACGGAAAAACGCTCTAGCTCATAGTGAAGTCTTCCAATGTCTTTCTTAGACATTGGAAAACTCCTATCACTGGCTCATAGAACAACAACTAGGTCAACGAAATGAAAATTCAGATAATTTGAACGAGTAAATCTATATATATATATATATATATATATATATATATATATATATACAGAGGTACACAACATCATTCCCATCAAAGAAAGATATTGAAAACCGACATGACAACGTCTAGCTAAAGTCATCACCACGTTGGATGTCTTTACATCAATTGCCGCTCACTGAAGAAAACCATCCTCGCGGCTGAACTTCAACTAACTTTCTCTACGAAATCCATGATTCACATGAAAGTGAACGATAAGCTTACGTTGCTGACAGGCCTCATCAATGTGCATATACCACCAATCCACACTTACTCGTGTAGAGGTATGTCGGCGGTAACCCCAGAGTTTACTGTCCAAACGTATAATCGAGAACTTACCCACGCACAGTCATGGTTTTATAAAAGAGAAGACAGATTCTCCCACAGACACAGCAACATCAGCTCTATCCTGGAACACCTAATCGAAGAATCTGGACACCAAGCTAACTGCCCACAAAGCAACTTAAAAGTCATCATCTAAAGAACACGTGGGAAACTTGCTAAAAGGGGTACGAGTCAAATTTCTTCAAACAAAGCAGAACCGAATGGAGGCAATTCATCACATATTAAATCCTGAACTCCGCATAGAAAAACAGTTTGTTCAGTGTCATTAAATTTACAATTGACCTGATCTATCTTAACACTGGATACGTAATTTTTGCGTTTTTTGTTTGTTTCTTAATTGGATTATTTTTTTCTCACCCCCTTTCCATTAAATTTCTACCCTCTCCTATTGACTGTCGTTCAAATTATAGTTGAATTCTATTCAACCCTTTCAATCACATCACGTCACTCAATTTTCTTATTTTATTTTATTTATTTTCTACCCGATTAACGCTTTCTACATTACGTAATTTGTGATCTGAAGTTTACACTTCTAATATAACACATCTTTGGAAAGAACGTTCCTTTTGTTGATGAGAAAATTTTCTTCATAAAATATACAATTGTACAGCTTGAGAATGATATCTCCAAAACGATAAGTAACTTTCATATGACTCAATAATGGAGATTTTCAGGTCACCCCATTTTAAAAAATTAAAAAAATTCAGAAATACTTTGAAAAAAGGATTACTGTGCTATGATGAGTCATTATTATTATTAATACCTACTAGAATACTGAATAATTGAGAAACGACAACTAAATCATCAGAAACTGTCAGTTTTACGCATATTAGTCAGAATTCTAGAGCCTGAACAATATCTTCCAGCACCAAAAGCAACCATACATACATACACACACACTGCGTGAAAGCATATAATTTGAGCAAGTTGCATAGGATCAAGTGGGTGGACTGACTTGTCCAAAGTTATCATTATTACTGTCCCCTTGGGTTCCTTATGGCATATAGAGAGTGTTTCAACAGCAAGTCTCCACTTTGCCCTATTTCCTGCTGACCTTAATACACGGACCCACGATTCCCCCTGTAGTCTCTCATCTTCTCCAACTCAGACGATCTCCACCATATCACTCACGGACACATGTCCAACTCCACTAGAGAGATGGTCTGGCTAACCCGGAGTGTCATTCGATAGTTTCCTCAGCCAGCGTGTGCATAATCCATCTCCATTTTCCCTTACATATTTGTTGAGCAATCGATTCTTGGTTGGTTCGCTCCCACAGTGTTTCTTGTCGCTACTTCTTCCTGACCAGCCGGCCATTTGATGATCAGTATGGAGCCAGAGAAGTGAGTAGCTATCGATAAAAGTCTGCAGTAGCCTGTAGGAAATGCTATTCGTGAGGCACACCAAGTTTCTGACCCATATAAGGGAACTGACTGACTGACTTAAAATTTTTGTTGAGTAGAATCCGAATCTTATTGTTTATGCTGAGGCGGGGCGAAGAAGATTTCCAAATAGATCTCAGAATGATGAAGGTGTATCTAGACTGGTCAGAAAGTTGGAGAAGAGCTAAAGAAATACACTATCCAGAGGTCAGCAGTTATGCATGTAAATATTCAGAATGAAAAGTTAACAGGCTACAAATAACTGACGTTTCTATACAAATACTTTGAAGCTCCCGTATATTATTAGGAACACAATATTTATTCGGTGAAGAGACTGTTTTCAACGTATTTATTATCATCAAGCTGTACAATGGCATATATATATGTATATATATCTGGATTTTAAGAAATTATATACGATGAAGTGAAACAAAGGTGTGAAACACATAAAATACTAATAATAATAGTATGAAATGCAATTAAAATATTCGTGATTATAATCATGGCTAATTAAATATCAAGTGTCAATTGTGGCAAGACAACTAGTGTCATATATATATATATATATATATATATATATGCATCACTATGATGCCCTTTAAGAATGTTAAAATTTAGGATTAATATTGGACAGCAAATTTACAAGAGTATACTTACTTCTAATAAACACAATGCAAGACGACGTACTTTCTTTGAAGGATCCATACATAACTTTACAACCAAATCTATGCACCAACTGGCTAGAAATGGTAGTTTCAGACGAAACAACAGCCGAATCAATCGAATCGTGTATATTCGTAAAGCCTGAAATAACATAAAAATGCCTTACCATAACAACAATACATGTGCATTTATCGTGAGAAAGACAAAATTATAAATGTTTAATACAAGTCATGCCCCGGTTATTGCTAGAAGCTTACAGAAGAATCATTGGTTTAGCAATAGTCTAAAGTCAATCAAACGGATATTGTAACGGGAGATGATAAGAAACCTGTAAGTGCTGACATTTATAAAGACCGTATCCTGTACAGACAATGTGTTCCAATGGAATATGATTCTCATATATGTCCACAGTTCAATACGGCATTAACAACACAATGCTACATTTATATATTTGGACATTCTACTTGCTGTTAGAGACAGAATGCTTTCTATACAATTCAATACTGCGTTAGCAACAGAATACTAAGTAGATGTGAACATTCTATTTCATGCCGTTTGATGTAAACCAAAATCACATGCTCCTTGATTGGTTAGCGAATATAAACCTTACTTATATATATATATATATATATATATATATATATATATATATATACAGAGGTTTGATCAAAGAAAAATATACCTTGGCTTCCGTGTCTTGCCTTCTACTGCTACAACTGAACCTGGTGTTTGTAATTACATACACGATCACTTCCCACGTTTTAATGAAAAGGATGCATTGTCAGATTATAGTTCCACTACATTAGAGGAGAACAAATTGTTCTGATTGGCCTAATTTTTATCAAGTTGTTCAGTGAGAGGTTATATTATGTCCACAACGTAAACCGAAACCAGATTTGAGGGACAAAAACACTTCTACCTCTACGACTATTAAGTTGAAATGTTGATTCCACTTTTGGCCGCTTCCTATTAATCTGTATCATGCCATATACCTAATTTGATTTCCGAACGGAATATAGACTATCAACAACACATCCCCCCACTTTTACTAATTTGTGCTATCCTCTTCATCATCTAACCCAATGATTGTTCATAGTTCCTTATCTCCTCCAACTCACACGACACCCTCCTTGTCACCCACGGACACATGTCCAACTCGTTGTTCCTCATTCGAATTCCGCTCGAGAGATGGTCTGGCTGATGCGCGATGTCATTTGATGGTCACATCAACATATGTCCAATGCATGTCCATTTTCACCGGAGCATGTGTTGACTGGACAATAGTTTCTTGGTTGGTACGTTTCCAGAGTTGCTTGTTGCTTATTCTTTCTCGCCGGCCGACCATTTGCTCTTCAGTTTGGAGCCAGATAAGTGGGTAGCTGTTGATAAAAGTCTACAGCAACCTGTAACGCGAGCGCCACATTTTCTGAACATTTCTGAACAGGATGACTGACTTCACATTTGTTTTGAAAATTCGAATCTTCTTCTTTATGCTAAGGTGGTATGCACAAGATTTTCAAACAGATTACAGATTCATGAAGGCGTTCCTTGCCTTTCCGGTTCTGTCCTTGTGATCCTCATATGTGCCTCCTGGTCGTGGTTGGAAAGATGCTGAGTAGATAAGTGAAGGAGGTGACCACTTTTAAAATTATTCCGTTGGTAGTGATTACTGCTTTTTTAGTTGGTTAGTTAGTTACTTTCGTCAACTCTGTCTTCTCTAAGTTTATTTGAAGTTCTGTCTTAGTTGCACTGACAGTTTTTCTGGTTTTTGCCAATAAGTGTCTTCGAGTTCCCAAGTTACTTCGCTGTCGTCAGTGTCTGTCGAAAGCCTTTTTAAAGTCGATGAATTTGAGGTAGTAGATATTTGATTGACATTCTATGAGCCCCATTCGACGATGATGCGTAGAGTCTCAGATCGATCCATACATGATTTGCTCTTTATGAATTCAGCTTGTTATGGGCTGGTGCATTTCTGCATCCAGTGCATCTTTTATTCTCTCCAGTATAATGACGCGAAAGGCTTAAGTCACCCTTTTTTGGTAGTTTAACAAGGTAGCCAGCCTTCTTTCCAAGCTTATTGCAACAGTGGCGTCAGCATATCTGCTGCAGTCTCTGGATCCATTTTTAATGGTTTAGTGGCGATTCCATTTAGTCTCACCGCCTTCCCAGTTGGCTTTCAGTAGCTCGATTGCATTCAAGATTTCTACTTTTGTTGAAGTACTTGGTGTCCATTGACAGGCAACAGTTCTTTGTCCCCGTCTGTGTTGGTATTTTTCGAAGAGTTGCACAGGTAGGTGATGATGGTTAATTCAAGAGTCACTTGAAGTGATCATCTTCTGTGGGTTTCATCCCTGTGTGTTGATCCCTTCCCGAATAGGGAAACTCCTAGTTATCATCTGACAGTGAACAAGTTATTTTCTCTCTCTCTCTAAATATTCATTAAGTGATTGCGTCGCCCGGTCATCTAACTTTCAAATTTGTATCATTTATAGAAACTAGTTGAAAAAAAACGAAAAAGCAAACCGATAGTGAAAATTCTCAGCAAACTAACCCTAATCCCCTGAATAGCTGCAGTTGTCAGCAGCATACGACTCATTTTGCTGGGACGAGAATAATCCAGACTAGAGAGAATAACTTTAGCATGGCATAAAAAGTACTTTTGACTGTCTGTTGTCACAGACGTCCCATGTCTTTTCAACTTGCTTGGAAACATTAAGATACTTTGAAAATCGATGCATAGATCACTCTTCTCTAGACGCGATTCACCGACATCTGATGTAGTCAGCTGGGATGCAGCTAATAAAATAAGGCTGGAGCAACTTTTATTCAGCAACTTTGGAGTGAAGAGTAGAATTAAATTGGCATTATCATTGGTATTATCAATATTATTATTATTCAGTGTGGAGTTGTCAGAGCTGGATTTCTCCTCCGGTAAATTCTCCCCATTGATCGAAGAATCGGTGGTAATTTTACTCAGAGTATATTTCAAACACAGATGAAGGACAGTGAGGAAACGATCCAAAAACTGCGATGGTTCACTTGTCTAAATAATTTTTGATTTCATTGAAAATGGAAAAAAAGAGGAAAAATGATGAACAGTCATTTTTCAGCAATTAGGTAAGCAGATTTATCAACATATTAGAAAACAACACTCCATTTAATAATATCCACCAGACGAGAACTGAATATGAGACTATGTAGATATAATAGAGAAGATTTGTACCTCAGGTGGATCATTTTGGTGTAGCTGTTATTTTTCAGCTGGAGAATTTACTTACGAAGATTTCATCGCCCTACTCTAGGCAAAATTTTCAGTGTATATATACTTCAATTTGAAATGAGTTTTCAACGAGTTTATTAGTCATCTCTTCTAGCATCTTTCAACGTCTTGGTGGGGTTGTTTTCGTGTGTGTTTTCACACCCTCCAACCTACTTGTATTGGTATTGTGACTGATTCCTTGATCTGAAGTTTACTTTTTTGTGCATAAGATTTTATTCCTATGGATTGGTCTTACAAGACTCTTCAAACCAACAGGAATTGATGTCGCACACAAGCCAACAAAATCACTTCACTCAGCTGGCTCTATGTCAACCGAAAGACTTAAAAACGAAAGAAGATAAAGTCAACATCACCTACAAAATAAATTGCAACGACTGCGAAAATCAATACATGACCAAAGTGGATGTCCTTTCCTTTTCCGCATCTATGAACACAAACTAGCCGGCCATAAGACATGAAATTCACTCCCTTACTCATATCACTGCATACAGACAACCACGGAAATCAATTCGATTGGGACAAATTCGTTCAAAATATTAGACAGAGAAAACACCAAAACAACTCCGGAGAACTTTTCGAAGTCTGTTATTCAAGTGAATTGGCAGTTAATAGACGCATTGACATAGACAACATTGACTAATCAATAAGAAGGAACGTAAACATCAGCTCAAGGAAACAAAGAATATCAATACAAGTAGACTAGAGGGTATTAAAACACACGAAAACAACCCATCACGACGCTGAAGATTACCGGGGTAAATGACTAACAAACCCGTGGAGAATCATCAAAAGCTCATTTCAAGTTGAAGCATTTATGCGCTGAAGATGTTGCCTAAAGTAAGGCTATGAAATCTGCATAAATTAGACATCCAGCTCAGAGAACGCAACTACATTAAAATGAGACTATCTGTAATGAACTGTTAAAGTGTTGGATTGCAGGGGGATTTAAAGTGATTACATGATTTTCACATCGTGAGCTAATATCAGTTAGAGAAATATTTTCAGGTGGGGTGCACAAGGTCGAGTGTGAGCTTATATACTGACCATCGATAACATTGAGTAGTTCCAGTCGCTCTCTATCGTGCGTGAGTTGACAGAAGTGGCTTATGAATCATTGACGAGCTAGCTCACCTTGCATAATCGCAAGGTGGGCATGGGTTCGAACCTTGGTGGTGGGTATACACTACTGAAGATTCCCAGACTAGGCCTATGGGAACAGATATCTGGCAGTACACCCTACTGGTTTTTCAATAGTGTTCTCCAGACGACGCCAACTAATCATGATGAAAATCCTGTCATAAACTGTCCTCGATACGTTGTTCCAGTAAACAAAATACCGTATTATCGTGTCGTGTATAGCATCCAAATTAATAAATAAATTAGCCTGCAACTATGCTAGGCAGAATTTTAATTTGACGCGAAATCAATACTACACAAAAGAACTAGGTTGTTCTAGTATGATTAGAAATTTTTTCGCTGCATATTCACCATTTCACCAGTCTGACGCATTATCGTTACCGCAACAGAATACATTGTTGTTTCCTATTTCACTTTCATGAAACGAGATGTGTTATGTATGCATCCCTGCCATCGATCGATCGCATACCCCGATCAACGGGGAATGTTAGCTTAGCTGACGTTGGATGGATCACGGTGGTCAAACGAAAACATGGTTGGTTTCATCAGTCAATGAAATCCATAACAAGTTAGTTTAACTCAGCCAGCCACGTAAGGAGGTGTAGACTGGCTGATCGGGGTCCTCGGGATGATGGTAAGAACCAATGTTATACTTTTCCGTCAAAATTACGACAAAGTTTCGCAGAAACAAGTTCGGAATGAAAAATGACCAAAACTGACACACACACACACACACGCAAAAAAGCTATAGAAAAGGTGACAAGTAACTACACACACACACTAACCGGAGAATAATACGCTAAGTGTGATATTAGCCCAGAGGCGAGAATTCCGGCGGCGGATGCATGTGGCCAATCATGCGAAAGCCAAGCTAAATTCAAATTAGCATTTGATGAATTGATTAAATGAGGATTTAAACGGTTAAAATTGTCATCTTTAGGATTGCTTTCTTTACAAATATTATTATCATTATTATTAAATAATTTATTCTCTCGATTGTACAGCAAGCGGTCAATCCCTTGAAGATTTGTACAGTAGTCTAGGTTTTGTTGGAGACAACTACGATTACCATTGATGACAACACTGAATAGACTATCAGCAGGGAGGATGGTCGCCTTATTGGGAATCGCTGATAAGGAACGTCCGATTGTAGGCAATGCTGGAGCATATTTCTCCGAGGAGCAGGTCAAATCTCTTCTGTATGTTTCATCTGGTGTTAAAAACTCCATAAGACATCTTAAAAATCTGAAAGACAAGAAATACGAAACAAAACTGTTGGGTATTACAAGTTAATCGTCATGAGGTATTACTTAGAGTAACAGTGTTTATATAATGTACTGAATTTTCACCCGAGTTCATTGCATCATATTTTCACTTGGCCCGCCATCTTCAATCAAAATGATCTGATGGACAGTAGATCATGTGACATACTTTTAACTGCCATCTGACCCGAAGCATAAACCAATCCATCATTATGATGACGGCTATTCTTCGACTCCTTTGAGAAATACACGACGATGGTTTTTTGAATGCTAATTATAAAAAGAGTTCAGGAGTATACTTCGATGAACGCGGGACACTACTGAGGGACGGTCATCTCATGTATTGAGATAATCATGGCATTCATTGAGGATAATGCTTCCTCTCATGTTTAGTAGATATAAAAGGGCGAATGAACAGGTTGTAAGTATTTTAACTACTCGCGAGAGTGAATAAATAATAATAATATAAGAGGTCTTAATTTACTAGATTTAAACAAAGTGAATAAGAGAAATTAAATATAAACTATATTGCTGGAGATTGTTTCCAGTAGCTCCAGTTTTAAGCAAGCCGCCACCACACTAAGAAATCGCTGCATATACAGTTACTTGAAGGAGAACACAGACAATAAGGGGCCAATAACAAATAAACGCTATCTATAAAGCTACTATAAGACCGGACTTATGCAGTCATCAGTCATGTAATCTAACTCAAGATTCATTAGACTACACAGTCCGGATTGTTAATTAAAAATAAAAACATTTCTCCAAACACCACTTTGTTGACAACAGGAAGTACAATTTGTGGAATAAATATCACCTAATCGTTTATTAGTGCGTCGGTGGTATAGCGGTTAGGACGCTCGCCGACCATGCACATGGTCCGGGGTTCGATCCCCGACCAACGCACTCCTTTACCTCCCTAAGCTAGAAATAATGCTGGTAAAGAGGAAAGGTTGGGGATGAGGCGAGCAGCCCCATCCTGTAAAATAAACACTGCTACAGAAACTTCAAGCCACTAGCTTGAAGCCCTATGTTCCACTGGGGAACGTGACGGAAAAAAAATCGTTTACTAGAAGAATCCCAAAGGAACCTGAACAACTTATTTATGTTGGCCTAAGCTGTCGAAATACTAACAGTATTTGTCATCGTCTACGGCGTCTATAGCAGGATTATCAGAATCCCTTTTCTATTTGTGGACATACATATGTACCAGAGTTGTCGACAAACAATGATGACATCAGTTAAAGAACCATTGACAATCAGGTGGGTGAACTAACAGACAGCTGTTTCGTCTGCGTAATTTGGGACTCCGCTTCATCAGTAGGCATTCGCCCACTACCAGGGTTCGAACTCAGCACCAACTTCAGGTTATACAAGGCGAGCTCGTAGACCATTCTACCCCCGGGACCCGACCCAATGGACAGCCAGCCAATGAATTCCAATTTCTCATAATTCACGCATAAGATACAGCAAGTTGGGTGTGAGGACAAATGTGCGCCACCGATGACATTGGCTAGTACTGCAAAACAGTGCCCAACTGGGCGGACAAAACAGCTGTCTAGCAGTACTCCCTATAGGTTTTCCAATCGTTCTCTCCCAACCAAGATCAACTCATGATGAAATCCCTGAAAACACACTTAAAAAATGATTATATATAATTGAGATTGTGTTCAGCTAAGTGTGAATGAATTCGCCACCAAAAAAGAGACTTTCTCTCATGCCCGGATATAGGTATATTTCGTGAATGAGCACAAGGTAAACGCACACACACACACACACACACATAAAAATGGAGTTTTAAATAAATCTCTCTCTAGAACAGAATATACCTACTTAGAGCGTGACTTCGACTCCCAAGAAAACGTTGTCCGTGTTACAGCTAATCGACGACCTAATGTGGTTAAAATATCCCAATCCCAAACATCTGGGGGTTTACTACTACAACAGGTGGTCGTCATTTGACATTGACTAAACCGACCGTGTTGAGATTTGGCTTTGAATGACAACACGTTCGATGAGGCAATCAAGTGGTCCAGAGTGGCCTCCGTAAGCTAAAAATGTAAAAATATGATAATTTGTGAGGAAAAAGAACTAATGCAGAAGTCTACACGAATTATTCTAATACAGAAATATACAGAAATTCAGAATGCAATTAACAACTCTATTGGGAAGTCATGACCAGTAGTGGAGTACAGCAGGTCGGGTGCGAGGCCAAATACTCGCCATCGATGACAATAGCCTGTGCCAGTCGCACTGTATCATGCGTGAACTGGCAGAAATTGGAATTCATGGGCTGGCTGGCCATCGGATCGGTCGAGTCCCAGTGGCTGACAAATAGTATGATGAATGATAGCTGAATGGTATGAAACCTCACCTTGTATAACTCGAATGTTCTGGGTTCGAACCCTGGATGTGCGAGTGCGTACTGCTGAATAGCCCCAAACTAGGACAATGAAAACAGCTGTATGATAGTACTTCCTACTGATTTCCCAGTGGTTCTCTTCTAACCAATGTCAGCTCATGATAAGATTCTGTGTAACCAATCAAATCAGATCCTTGCAAACTAACACTTGAATTATCATTTTGTTTGTAACATCGTTGAACAATTATTTGCAACTGTCACCTATATAAGTAAGTAATCTGAAGCGATCGATTTAGGTACTTTATTGTAACATCTATTCATTTGAATGTTACAGGCGAAAAACCAACAAACTGGCTGAAAGCACTGGCAAGCGGCGAAGAAAGGACTTCAAGTAAACACAGAGAAGAAGGAAGTGATAAAGAGGGACACGCACACACCTCCAATAACAACAACAATCAGGACCAATCACCATCAATGGGGTAAATTTCAAAGAGGTTCCTTTCTTCACCCTACTACAATCAGGTGGCATGGATGAGGATGCTAAAAGCAGAATGGCAAAGTAATGGCAGAGCTTCATCACTTTGAAGTCATTTTGGAAGTCTTCTGCACTCCGTCTCAGAATAAACAACAAGATTCGGATTTTCACCACAGATGTTAAGCCAGTCAGTTAGTGCTTCTATATGGGTGAGAAACTCAGCACATGAGTCACTCAAACAATTTCCAACAAACCACTTCAAACTTTTATCAACAGCTGCCTTCGCTGGTTCCATATTGAGGATGAAATTTCTGGAGGGGAAGAATTAGCAACAAGAAACTATGGGAACAAACTAACCAAGGATCTATCGCCTAACAAATATATGGCAGGAAATGGAGATGGTTTGAGTACACGCCAATGAGGAGACCACGAAATGACATTAAGCCCCAGTCAGGTCATCTCTCTAGTGAAACGTGAATGGAAAACAACGGGTGGGGCGTGTTCTCTCCTTACCTAATACTCTGAAGACTATAATCTTTAGTAGCCAATCAAATATCAACCAAGATTCATGAACTATTCTTACAAATAACTTCAGTCAGTCAGTCTCATTAAAGAAAATTTTTATTGCATTCGTCTTCAGAGGAAAATAGGCATCCAGCTCTAAGGTTTCACAGTGATGTGTTGTTTTTACGAGAGGGCGGTTATCACCTTCACGCCCAACATTCTTTCTTTTCTAGCCTTACCGCCGACAACCAAACATTCAGGAGTACGTCGATCGGGGATTCATCCCGAGACCGCAAGCATTTATCACTGAATTAAACTGAGGAGGTGTACACGCTGGCAGGAGAATGAAAAACAGCAAGTCAGGTGAGAGGATCAATACTCGCCATCGCTGATATTGGCTTGTGCCAGTAGCCCTATATCGTGCGTGGATTGGCAGAAGTTGGAGTTCATTGGCTGGCTGACCACTGAACTCGATACCAATGGCTGATGAATAGTCAACGAACTAGCATGCCTTGTAACCGGAAGGAGGTCCTGAGTTCGAACCATGATGGTGGGTGGGTAATGATGAAGGGTTCCAAACCAGGCTGAAGATATAGCTGCCTGGAAGTATTTAGAAAATCAACAGTGAAAAATAATAGAAATAAATTTGCTTAGTTCGCCAATTCAAAACTTACTTCCATATGGTCTGTGAACGCTGAATGACGAGATGAAGAGGAGGAGGCGTCAACTGATCGCTTGGCTAAACACTCCAGAAATGGTGAATGATAAGGTACACTGATGAAATTAGAGGGGTCACGAAGACGAGCTTCGTGTGACTGCATCACACGATGTATACGCTCTAACCACAATACAGCTAGCTGACTTCCCGGTGTTTCAGGACGTAAAAGGCCAACTTGGTGGAGACGCTTACATACCGGATGTTCATGGGGCAACAAACTTTCCACCTGGATAAAAGGAAGGATAATTAAGAAACAAACAAAAAGCGCAAGAATTACATATCCAGTGTTAAGACAGATCAAGTTCATTGTAAATTTAATGACACTGAGCAAACGTTTTTTCCAAGCAGAGTTCAGAATTTAACGTGTGAAATGCCATCGATTCTGCGGTTATCCGAAACAATTACATTCTAATGACACATCTTTGGAATGTATATATATATATATATATATATATGATTCTACAGTTTGAGAATCATACCACTGAAAAGAATAACTCTTTGCTGAACGCCTTTTCTTTACAAAATAGTCCGTGGCTTGATGCATCCGCAGCAGGTGATAAATTAAATTTAAATTTTATTTTTTTTTAAATTTTATTATAGCTTGATTCCACAGAGTATTTTGGTACAAGTATGGAATTTTCAGCTTGTGATATCCGTAGCCCAAATTTAGCAGGCCGACCATATCAGGTGTGCGTCGGCGGGGGATCGAACCTCGGACCATGTGCATGGTCGGCGAGAATCCTAACCACTGTGCCACCGACTCGAAAGAAATCATCGGTGCATCTTTAAACATCGGAAGCTTCATGCAGACTGTTATCCCACTTCTAGTTATCAAATGGCAAAAAATGGATTCCACTGATAATTATTTGGATTGGATAGACTAATCGGGATTCCGGGATTTCATCTTAAGCTAAGAACCATTGGAAACCAGACAGACAGCTGCTTCGGCGGCCCAGTGCTTGGGACTCCACCTCAGCAGTACGCAGTCACCCACCACCAGGGTTCGAACCCAGGACCACCTTCTGATTATACAAGGGGAGCCCACACCCCCGACCAGCTGTACCCCACTAGGGATAGCCACTAGTGAGCATCAGATTGGTATTCAAGCGTTGGTTTGAAGGGATTCGATTAGTCACAGGAGCTTGTCTTGTATAACTAGAACGTCCTGGGTTCGAAGCCTGGTGGTGGGTGCGTACTGTTGAAAAGTCCCAAACTAGGACGACAGAAACAAATGCCTGCAGTACTCCCAGCTGGTCTTCTAACCGATGTCATCTGCTTATGATGGACTCCTGTAACCAATCAAATTCCAGCAAACCAACACTTGAAATTGTTTCCCTTGACATACAAGTAATACTTTGCATCAAAAGGCAATAACATAAATTCAAAAAATTTCAACCAAGAGTGAATATTCAACTTCTCGACTAAATCTACTTTGTAAGCCAATGAGCCAAGAAGATAACCAGCACGAATAGACGTCACTTGATTCGAATCGGATATTGCACGCATGAGAGCCTATAAAGAACAGTAGACAATTGTTTGAGAGAGACAGAGAGAGAAGAAAGAAATATTTACTATGTATAATTTAGATACCAAATAATAATATAGCAAAAAATATTCATTCAGACATCTAGAATTCAAATAGGAAATTCGAACAAATAATATTCTCTTCCATGATTTCCTCTTCTGGCTCTACAATTACAATTCCTAATGTGAGTTCTCCAACACCCTCAACCTCTCAAGGTAAAATGAAGATTAGTTGGTGTACCGTAGACAAATTTGAAAGCCTTGTTTACATCAATTTTGTGTTCCGTTGTATCCACGAGATGAGATAGTATAGAAGTATGAATGGAATTTATTTCTTGTCCTTTACTTAACCACTATGCAAGATGTGGTATTCGGAAATCCATCGATAAACACGCCTAATTGTACGACATAGGTAAGTAACTGGCTCCGCGCAGGAGCAGTCAAACTGGTAGATACATATAGAAGATGCGAGATTAGGTGGTTTACTTTTAACTCCCAAACGTGATAAAATAGGGGTGGTTTTGAACAGAGAGCATACTTCAGTGACATCGAATGCTCTTCGTTTTACCGCATTCCTTAGAATTTGTGTTAACATTTCACTGATGTTGTCACCACTGAGGAAATAGAGTTGTCAGAACAAGGCCTTTTTCAGGACTGTTGGTCGATTTGGCCTACTTTGACTTTTGATTCGCATATTCTTCTCGATGATTTTCTCTGGGTAATCGTTCCCACTCAGTAACTGTTTAATAATATTAAGCTCTTCAATGAGACATTCATCAGAGCAGATTGCTGTTGCTCTGTGGCTGACTAACCACTTTATTAGTTTGAGTTTGCATTTCAAAGGTGCGAAGCTGAAAAAGAGTGTGTATACAGACAAGGGGCTTCTCAATATACACTTCTTATTCTACCGCCTGCTTTTCTAGCCATAAAGGCGGAATACTAGCGATTCTTTCTTTGTCAGTGCTAAAATTTGTTGCACATTTTTAAATTTGTCAAGGATATTCTTTGCTTCATCCTCACCCTTCATGATCAAAAATGTATCATCCGTGTAACGACAGTAGGATTCTAGTTAATCAGTTACATAGTTGTAAGGCCCATTCTCTAATTTTACAGAAAAAACGTCGGCTAGAACTGATCCTATTGATGAGCCCATTGGCACACCATCAATTTGTGTGTACAGTTCCTCAATAAATAATGAAAACAGCTTTATTACAAAACAGTATTCTCCATACAATTATGGAATTTCCACCACGTAGTACAATATTACATCCAACTTGCTCATTTACAAGGGCAATAATTAAAACAGGGCATTCCCACCATTGATAATATTGTTGAATAAGAAAATGAATACAAAATAATGAAAAAGTAAGGCCGTTGACTTAGAGTTCGGCAGTAAATGAGCAATATCCAGTAGTACACTCCTCTTATCACATAAAATGTGTTTGTGTGACAAATAAGGTATCGCAGAGTTTTTGCACCTAGTCATCCGAGGACACAGTCTGCTGCAGTTGCTTTAAATTCCACCTACCTGATGACACACAGCAAGCAGAGTGAGAAAGACAGCGATTTATGTACAGAGATGATGCTCAGAGTCTGACAAGATAATATTTGCTCATTTCTTGCAGGCGTCCATGTGTCCACAGTCTACAACAGTATTAACGTGCCACCCACTCTACTACTGACGACAGCTTTTAGTGCCCTTCGCAGTCTTACTTAAGTTGCCTGAGAAAGATTAAGTTGGAGGGAGAGGGGGGAGCAGTAAAAAAGGATAAACAGATTGCACGAATTAACAAACAGAGAAAGTAGAGACCGACTGAGTGATGATGTCAGATCGTCTTAACTTCCTTATGAAGAAGATTAAATGAAATATTTTTCTGGGAACTAACATGATGCGAGAAGAGCAGGAAAGATGGTCAGAGGAAATACCCACTCCAGAGTATTTAACACTCGATTCAGTTTCAAACAGTGTGGCGTCTATGATAGTGGAGCTAACCAGTTCATGTAAGTCGCACTTGCGTCTGAAAGTGAAATTACCAGACTGACTGGTGTTTGGAGAGATTTAGCTTAAGATCATTTGACCTGAAGCACCAGTGACTAATTTCTGATATAGATTTGTTCATATTTTGGGACAGCCCGATTGAGAAGTAACCGCCGGTGTAGAAACAGTTGGATGGATCATCCACATGCTTAGCAAAATTGGCTTCGTCAAAATGATGCAAGTAAGTCATGCAAGTCGAAAGGAAACAGGATATGAGAAAGAACAGCATCTTGAGTGAGGGGAACACCAACTAGAGTATGTGAAGCAGTGGAGGACTTTCCATTGCAAACAATGTACTACTTCCTATCAGAAAAAACAGGGATGCAACCACTTATTAGTCAAGCAGCCTGCCTGTGTCGCAGGTAGCTTGTTTAACAAAAGAGGCTTAGGTATGGAGTCAAAGGCAGATATGTTGAAATCAAGGAAGGCACACCGAACATATTTGGTACCTCTGTCTAAATAAGAGTTAGAAATCAAGCATCACTTTTAATTTTTACAAAGTGTGAACAGAAATAGAATCCACAAGTGGGTGTGAACATAATGAAGCAAACCACTCTATTAAAACATTTATTCACCTACAATGTGTACAAATATTAATCTAAGGACATAGTGTGGTGAGAGCTGGCTGCTAGCCAAAGTTGGTAGACAGTAATTAAAGTCAATGTTTATGTCCCCAATATTGGTGGTGAGAAAATCAGAACGAAGGCTTTGCGTAGGCGGGTACACTTAGCATATGGATGATCTGACACAGCCACAAAGAGATGCAAGGTTAACTTTCTGTGAGAAACAACCAATCTACAATAATCTACAATAATGTACATTAAAGTCTATAAATATGTGTTGATTTTCCTTAATAAACGATCTGTTGCCTGACCCTTGTCTTCTGTTGTTACAATAGGACACTCTGAAGCACTTTTGTCTTGAAGATCAAAATAGGCGAATCAAACATGACAGAATTGTCTTAATGAAAGTGGATTTCTCCATTTAAGGATATTCATCTTCAATCCGTGATATCATGATCTGCCTGCAGTGATTACGACCGACTAATTATTAATATTTCCTTTGGGAAAATACAGCTTTCACGCCTCCACTCTGCCCTACTTTCTGTTGTCATCCTCACTACATGATCAACTTCATGTCCCCCTCAAACACAACCCACACTAGATGTTTCTCATTCGGGTTCCACTCAGGGGTCTGCCATGCGATGTCACCGAACCGTCTCCTCAGTGGCGTGTGCCCAATCTATTTCCACATATTCGTTGAGCAATAGGTTTTCTGTTGGTTGGTTTGTTCCCAGAATTGCTTGCTGCTTATTCATTCTCACTGACCACCTATTCTTCATTATGGATACAGCAAAGAAACCAGGTGTGGTTAAAAGTTTACAGTGACCCGTTAGGAATGCTTTACGTGACGCATGAGTCAAGTTTTTCAGCCATATAGAGGCATGAACTGACTGACTGACTTGACGTTTGGGGTGAAAATTCGAATCTCGCTGTTTAAAGTGAAACGGAGTGCAGAAGATTTCCAAAAAGTGAATTCAGAGTGATGCAGATGAAGCTTGCCTTTCCAATCCTGACTGGCTTCGACATCTTCATGCATTCCGCCTGTCTGTCTGTCTGTAGTTGAGACGATGCTGGCTGCTTAGGAAAGTGAAGGCACGAAGTAACCTCTTTCAAGCTTCTTCCGTTGATGGTGATTGGTGCTGGTTGTTGTTGTTGTTGCTTTCATTGGTTGGTTGGTCGGTTGGTTATTTTCATCACCTATGTCTTCTCTATGTCCACCTGGATTCCTGTCGTCACTGACGGACAGGATCTTCGGTCAATTTGTTGGTTTTTGCCTGTTAGTCTTCGAGTTTGTATGACGTGAGAAATAAATTATCCCGGCGAAACGCAGATCTTATAGAGTCTTCTCATCGGTTCAGAGTATTCCTGTCTTTTTCTTTATGGTGAAATATCATTTTCTTGGACTAATTATACCCTGTGGTGTTGTTGTTCTTGTTCTTGTTGTAATGGTGAAAACGAGTTCACTGGCAGAAAAAACTCAATCGATTTCCAGGTATTTATTGATTGCATTTCATTAGAGCTGCCTACTCAATCTGAATGCATATATATATATATATATATATATATATACCATATGGCGAGTAAAATGACTGATAGTTCAGGCTGATTTTACAAGAATATATAGAAATAATCCCCATTTAGACATTGGCATTTCTGCAATCTTCACGACGGAGCTTATTTTAAGATGTACAATGGACGTTTATTTCACGTTTAACTAGGAATACTATAGACAAATTGATGGTATGGCTATGGGTCGCACATTAGATCTTATCCTAGCCAACTTTCTCCTCGCTAAGTTAGAAAATGGACCACTGAAATGAGTAATTAATGAGTTGGAAATCTACTGTCCATATATATATATGGATGATACACCTCTGAATATTAAAAACGGGAATGAATCAACGAACATCCTCGACAAGTTCAATGATGCGCATTCAGCAACAAACTTCACCACAGAGAAAGTGATGATACTATCTCATTCCTAGACGTCTTCCTGATAAGGAAAGGGGAATGTACCGTAAGGAGTGTCTGTGCAGGAGAAACCTACAACAACGGTTCAGTACACTCACTGTCTGAGTTTCGCACCTTTGAAATATATAAACACAACATGGTAAAGTGTCTGGTTCATAGAGCTAGAATAATCTGCTCAAATGAATCGTTCACTCAGTTAGAGTGGTCTTAAGATTGTCAACTGCAGTTCCTCGGTAATATAACATTAGTGAAATAGTAACACAAAGAGCGCCTGAAGAATGAAGTTAAAAGAGCTTCCAATGCAGCAGAAGAGGAACCTTCTCTCTTCACTACCCCGCCTATTTTAAGTCCGAGAAATAAGGACAAAATATCTAAGTTCACCTCGTCCGCTATTTGTATCTACCAGTTTGATTGTCGCTGTCGAACCAGTTAGCTGCATTTGGTGTACAAGTAGGCAGATTCATCGTCATCATCAAACCAGATTTCTGAACATCATCCCGCATAGTGGTTAAGCAAGGGACAGACAAGATCTATTCGTAGCTCTCCATTTTAGAACAACTTGTTGACATTCACAGTAAAGTTGATGTTATTACAACATTACAAGTTATTTATCACATTCAAACTAATCTTAATTTTGTTTTATGAGTTCTTTTTCTACACACTACAGCTGAAGTCATTGGAATCCATTTGGAGAAGCCAAATCCATGTGTGTGTTCAGAGGATATTCCTACAGCCACATTCCTCCTTACCTTGATTATTGTTACATGAATGTAAAAACCTGACAACTTCGCCCTACCCCTAGGGCTTTTTTCTGACTACTTCATCTTTAATTACAAGTTATTATCGTCTAAATTTGTTTGATTTTTCTTCTACCTGAACACTCGCCAACTCTTTAATTACTCTTCATTTTTCTGAAATTTTGCATTATGCAATCTACTTGTTGCAACTATTTCTACCCTTTAACTGTGTGTCTGTTAATTTTCTCTACTAATCATCACTCCCACCGTTTGAAATGTTGATACTGACTAATTGTTGTTAACAAACATATCAGTGCCACTTGGTTGGTAAAATGTTGAGTATTATGTGTTATGAATGCTGTACATAAAAGATATTAGAGTAGAACAAGACATGAGGGACCACAGGGAATCGTGGGGTTAGCTACAGAGGACCGCAAAGAACACGACAAAGTGATGTGTTGCTGTTAAAGGCCTATATTCCACTCGGAACTCAAGCGTATAAAAGTAACAATAATGATAATGGCATGCTACTCTGATAGTCTTACGTGGTTAACAAATAAATACGTGGGTATACAAATCCATCTTACTACACCTTATATATATATATATATATATATATATATATATATATATATATATATATATATATATATACAGACACATCACAACGTTGACTTACTTCATATAGCCCCGCTTGAATCAATATAGCCAACAAAAGAGCATAATAATTGTTCATGACATCGAATCCAACTGAATCATACTTAGAAAATAGACGACAACCTTCAGCAGCGATAAAACCGCCGTCAATATCCCAAATATTCGATGACGATGATGATGATGGCCGCCTTACAGGCAAGATCGAAGATACAAAACGTCGTGATTTCGGCAGGGATGACATTTCATCAGTAGGAGTGGTGAAAATGTTCGTTTTCTTCCGTGAACTCGAATTTGGCGCATATATCACAGGTAGTAGAGACGATGATCCAGTAGACAAAGCTTCGATCAGACCCAAAATAGTCGGTTCCATGTCTTTGACAGATGGATGAGGTACAGGAATTGTTGGAAATAAACTATACAGTAAATCCAGGATTTGATTCTAGTGAATAAATGAATAAATAGATATATTCAACAAAGATAAACAAACAAAAGAAGTTATTTTAGAAAAATGCATTCCTTATATATACGAAAATACAGGCAACTCACTCTGTTTTCTGTACTGCCTACAGCCAAAGTATATAATAGTGTCTTCAAATTTGATACGCCATCACGTGTAAAATGGAAAATGCCTATATTTGACAAAGAAAACGTTGAAAAAAGGCGGAGGGGGTGTGTAAACTGAAATCAAAGTTACACGATTGATGTGAGTTAAAAAGAATTTTTTAGGGTTATTAACATCAACTAATACCTCTGAAGGAACTACCAACTGGAATAAGTGAACTGCATGGTCTTATTTGTTTATAAACCTCCAAAGCTATAATTGAATCTTCTTTCGGTTATAAGGCGAGCTCGTAGACCGTTAAGTCACTCACTGGGACCCAGCACATGAATTCCAACTTCTGACAGTTCACGATATAGCGCGACCACTAACCAATGTCATCGGTGGCGACCACCGGCTGTACACCACTGGTCAAGGTTTCTCACCAGAACCCAGGTAACTACCCATCTGAATGGGGTCAGTTACTAGAGGGCATCAGACTAGTATTTAAGTGTTGGTTTGCAGAGATTTGACTGGTAATAGAATTTCATGAGCAGCTGACAGTGGTCACAGAACACCATTAGGAAACCTGGGAACACTGGACAGCTGTTTCATCTATCTCTTTTGGGTTCGCTCGTCAGAAGTACACACCCGCCCATAGCCAGGGGTTCGAACCCAGGAGCGCATCCCGGTTATACAAGGCGAGCAAGCTGATAAACAATTAAGTCACTGGGAACTTGCAGAAGTTGGAACTCATGGATTGAACAGTGGATAGGATCTAAGTGCCTTAATGGTCTACTAGCTCCCTTGTATAACCGGAAGAGGGTCCTGGGCTCGAACATTGGCTGTGGGTGGGTGCATGCTGTTGACGAGCAAACTCAAACTAGACAGACGAAACACCTATCCAGTACTCACAGGTTTTCTAATGGAGTTCTGTTACCGATGTTAGCCACTCATGCTGAAATCCTGTAACCAATCAAATGAAATCCCTGCAAACCAACACTTAAATAGAAATCTTCTTTCATTTTCTTCAGTAATTTTAGAAGGAAGACGTTTTCTGTTCATTCTGTTATATCTTTCCCGTTGGGTGATTCCAGAAATTCGGTGTTGTCTGAGAGCACGTTTGTTAGTTTTTCGCGATATAGTCTGATCTGTTCATTATCACAATCCCCCATGGCCCTTTTCAGGACGATGAGGATTATGTAATTGTTTTCTTGAAGTTGTTCATCTGTGTTCCTTGGGATCAGCAGATAACGATGGCTTGGTCGTACATGCATTTACTTGTAGAGAGGCTATCGAAAATTGAAGTTTTGAACTGTTCGCGATCTTTTTCAGAACACAAGTAGGTATCATTAATCAGATGTCTGTGAGATTACATTCTCTTGCTGAACTTTGGTTTGTAATTCGTTGTAAAATATCAGATCAAGTGATGATAGAACTTGGGATTTGGATAGGACTGAAAGGAAAATTTGAACAGTTGAATACATATTTATAAGGATTCTGTAGATTCGATGAGACAGTTGTATCAGATGGTTTCAAGCTATTTGTTAATCGGGAAGTATTACTATTGCAATGTATTTTTTTTTGTATGACATTGGACACATAATGTGCTGAAACGTTTGTCATCCCTTATCGGATAGTTTTAACCAAGTATGGGTGGCTTCTTTATGATATTTTGTCTTCAAGTTAAAGTAGATGTGAGTGAATGACATCGACATGATTTGATGTTGTGTGACGTTTGAATGTCTTCGAATATCTTAGGGTAAATGTGATTCTGGTGGAGATTATTCTTCTTCTTCTTATCGATGTACAGCTTCAGAAGGATGTCCCACTTCAACCTATTACAGACAAAGTCAACTCACTAAATCATCAGATAGAGAATCGGCTAGCAGATATTCTTGAATCGGTAAGGAGACTATATGATAAAGTATAGCCTTCGTGAAACATTTCACTTCATCAATTCATTGAAAGATATGCAAATGTGTTAGAAAGACAAATGCTTTCACTAGATGTCATTTCTCTATTCACAAGCATCGCTCCTGACTGAGCCATCGAAACTAGAAAGCTAGAAGAGTTTCCCTTCCCATCAATTACCTGAAGGAACTACCTCTCGGATGTACGTTTAACATCCGATTCAAATTTAATCAACAATTCTGCGTACAGAAAGATAGTGTAGCTATGAGGTCGACCTCCTTTTAGCCCACTCTCTCAGCTGAATACTTCATATGTTGAGTCCTGAAAACAACATTCTCAAGCCTTTCGAACAGTCAACTGTTGCTCCTATACAAGAAATACGTCGTAAATGATTCTTTTATATAATTTGCTAGGAAAAATTCGATTTAGACTTCCCCCTCAAAAATTTCAACGCGGCATACTCATGAATAAGATTCCCCCATCCCCCGAGAACGTGAATCAAGCATGCAATTTCCTTTCCTGGATGCATTATTTACCAGAAGAAGACAAGAATGTTCGATTCGAAGATCAATATATCGCAAACCACACTGACCCGAAAGTAAAACTCAGTACATACATTATGCTCAAGGACTAGAAATATCTGTTCGGAATACACGAGAATAAATCAAAATCATTGCATGAAACCCTACTGGAGGAGAACGGGTATCCACCGAAATATCTGAAGATATTTCAAGCAGCCACTTTACTACGCATCACATTCTGCAGTCTAACGTCAGGGATAAGATACCCCAATTTTCACTTTAAACCTAATCTCCATTGAAAGTTTCACTCTAGTCGCAATCTTCGTTGGGAGATTCATACCAACCTCAATCATAACCCTACCTTAATCTCACCCTAGCCTTATCCCTGAATCACACTGAAACTTCCAACGAAGATTAAGTGAAAAGTGTCGATTTTTAATGGTAGGTGGTTAAAGGTCATTTGACTGTGTAGTATGCCTTGACCAGTACACCAATCTTCCAATTGATGGTGACCAGCATTAGGGTTAGGAATTAGAACAAGTCGAGTGCAGGGGTATACAAGATAGAGAAAATCATGGTAAAACGTATGACAAGTTTGGTTAAAAATATATCCCTTAAAAAATTTCAAAACTGGAAAGCCTAACAAGGAAACACTGTAGCAACGCAACCACCTAATATGTAGACTAGGAATTCCTATATTTCAAATTATACCGCCGGTCATTAGAAAATATGTGGTAGAAAGGTACAGATCAGAACCATAATTCATCGTTCACAACACTGATAGTTTCCATTCGCAAAGCTCCCTTTATATGATTTCATCATGAGCTGATATTGGTTATAGAACCAACCATTGGAAAACCAGTAGGAAGTACTATACTGGGCAGCTGTTTCGTCCGCCTACTGCTTGGGACTTCCCTTCGGCAGTATGCAACCACCTACCGTCAGGGTTCGAGCCTAAGGCCACCTTCCAGTTACACAAGGCAAGCAAGCCCGTGGACCATTCATCAACCACCGGGACCCGACCGATTCAATGGCCAGCCTATGAATTCCAACTTCTGACAGTTCACGTACGATATACCACCCCCAACTTGGCGCCAGCCAATGTCATCAGTGGCGAGTATATATCCTCACACTCCTGATCAGCTTTACCCCAATGGTCACGGCTTCCCACTAGGACCCACCCAGGTAACTACCTATCTGAATAGCGCTAGTGGTGTATACTTTCCCTTTTCCACTAAGAATTCTCTGTCCTAACAACACTACCAAACTCAGCTGCTGAAGGAAGGGTGACTGGTAGTCTTTAGAATAATACACACATGATCCTTACTTTGTCTGTTATAAACACAAGACAGGCAGGAGGACGCCTTGCCATAGGCGTAGGAGTGAAACATAAACACACACACACGCAACGACAAAAAATGAACAAAAGCTATTCACAGAGATATATGTAACCACATTTATACAATAGAAGAGTATCTACAGAGAAAAAACATGCCTACCTGGCCATGAACGAAACATCAAGATAAGCGCATTTCTAGCACAGAGCGTAAATGACGGATAACTGCGAGTTTTATTTTCACGGAAGAGAAAAAGATAAAAACAGAAAGAGTAAGTTCTATGAATTCAGTGTGATTTTTACAATACACGTGAACAAATGACATTAATAATATACCTATACAACATTCAGCGAACACTGGAATACAGTGTGGATGATTTAAGTCTCATGTTATGCAAACTCGAAGACTTACAGGCGAAAACCAACAAACTGACGGAAGATGCTGGCCGTCAGTGACGACAGGAATCCAGGTGGACATAGAGAAGACACAGGTGATGAAAATAACCAACCAACCAAACAACCAATGAAAGCAACAACAACCAGCACGAATCACCATCAACGGAAGAAGCTTGAAACAGGCTACTTCGTGCCTTCACTTACCTAAGCAACCAGCATCGTCTCAACTACAGACAGACAAACAGATAGATAGACAGACAGACAGGCAGAATGGGTGAAGATGTCGAAGCCAGTCAGGATTGGAAAGGCAAGCTTCATCTTCATCACTCTGAAATCACTTTTCCGATATCTTCTGCACTTCGTCTCACCTTAAACAACAAGATTCGAATTTTCACTACAAATGTTAAGTCAGTCAATCAGTCACTTCTTCTATGTAGGTCAGAATCGTGGCTTACGCGTCATGTAAACCATTTCCAACAGACTACTGTAGACTTTTAACCGCAGCTGGCTTCTTTGCTGTATCCATAAAGGAAGAATAGGTGGCCAGCGAGAATGAATTAGCAGCAAGAAAATATGGGAACAAACTAACGAACTAAACTACGCCATCTCTGCCTTGGAAGATGTGATATCCGGCTAGCTGTCGACCAAGGGACATACGTGTTTACTGCACAGCAGAAACACCAGGAGCATTTTCTTCCGTCCCCCTTTACGACTAGCTGTCTGGCTGTCAGTGAGTGAGACATGACAGCCATTGATGCGAGTAAGAGACATGGAAAGGACGGCCGACTGGCTGTCTTTCATCATAGGTGTAGTCTGCGTTCTGTCTACATCTTGTGTTATGTTAGGTAGTAGGCGTAATGGGCGATTAATACCGAGTTGGTGAGGCATCAGTGGAGTGCTGCGCTAGGTAAGGAGGAGGGAAAATCAATCTATTGACGAGATTGTGAAGCAGTTATATGGATTGAGTGAGTTGGTTAGGGCATGTATTACGCATGCATGAATCCCTAGCCATCCATCCATCGATCGCCTTCCTCGGCTGACGGACAGTGTTAGCTTAGCTGACATAGGATAGATGGATGGATGAGGTTGGAAGAGAGATAGCTACCTAGCTAGCTAGCTAGATAGCACATGGTGGTGGTCAAACGAAAACATGGCTAGTTTCATCATTCAATGAAACCCACAACCACAGTTACTTCAGGCCAACCAGCCAGCCATGTAACGAGGTGTAAACTGGCTTTCTGACTGGCTGGTTGGGGTCCTCGGGATGATGGTAAGAACCAATGAAGTCTGGCTCAAAATCATTTTTAGTGATGCCTCAGATGCATTCACTCCTTGTGATTTTTTCGCCTCAGACTTATGTTTATTATTCGCCTTTTGAATCTCTCTTTAATCGCTCTTCTCTTGCTGTGTGCTACATGGAGCATTGAAGGTTGCAACTCAAAATGCGGCTGCACATTTGTGCAAAAATCTATGATGTTGAAACCAGTCAGTAAGTCAATCCGACTCCCCCATTTGACTAAGTATATCCCACAATTCTCTATAGGTGAATAAATCTTAGCAATTAAATTTTGTAACTTCTGTCATACATAAAACATACATAGATACATGCATAAACTCACGTGTCAAACGAGGATTTTCGATGTAACAATGAATGCGATGTGGATGTATAGGCAACAAAAAATTTCTGAAATATAAAATAATAGTAATAATAATGAACACTGCGCGACAAGAAAGAACAAAAACATGCAACATGAATTGTCCATTTCCTTTCTAGGATTAAGAAAAAAAATCTATAATAGTTGTATTGGATAGACACTGAAGATTGGAACAGCTGACTGACTGACTGACCTACAATTGAAGGTGTCTACTATATGCACTCCATTTTTATTGTTTCATTTCATTGCTAGTGCCAAGGACTGGGATTATTGGGCAGGCTTTCAGATCGAAGTAGATGGTGGTAGGACCGAGCTTATGGAATTGGCGTCTCATCCACAAGACATCAGAGCGCAGCTGCGTCAAGAACTAGCTACGTTCCCAATAGTTGTCAGTCCGTTTGGGTTCCGGAGCCCATGTACCTCACAGTTTAACCGCTATCCACAAAAAACCTTCCTGGTATGGTTGGATCTGTAGGAACATAAGTGTCCACCCAGCCAGTGTAGCTTTTTGGGTCAGCGTAGTAAGTAAGCCCTACCACCACGGCAAGGTAGCGCAGTTATCTGCCGGGTTAACACACTCGTAGTAAAATAATTTGTTGTATCCTATTCAACTAGTGTGAGAGAATTCACAGGATGACAAGCTAATAATTTTTGAACCACGTCACTTCTCATTACATAACAAGTAATTGACTTGTCCTCTACTTCTTCTTCACATTTACCTTTTGTGCTCATGACTCACATATATGGAGGATTGTCGAAATATGTATCTAGTATGCATGCATAATGTTGCCAAAAAGAGTATATGAGGGGTTTCTTTTTCTGTTTAGAGGAATACAACTCTAAAAAAGTTGGTAAACTGTCCATTTCATGTGGAATTTCTGTATAGAGATGAATTTTCTCAACGAGTTGTCAGCATATCTTTGCAGTTGAACATCGAGGACGAAACGAAACATTGAATCAGAGTGAAGTCAGTGTTTAAAGGGTGGATATTATTGAAGGTTTGGAGTAAGCAGGTTTCTGAGATCAAAATCCTCACCACAAATAATGAAAGTGTATCACCAATGTATCTCTTCTTGTGGAGATAGAGCTCGTCGACAGTTGATGATAGGGAATTGTTTTCTAGGCTAGCCACAAATCATTCCTCCAAGAGGGGGCTCGTGGAGGAGAATCCATTGCCTGTATATTTCGTTGTTGAATCTAAAAAAGTAGACGATGAAAGTGCGTCGTAGTAACAGCTCCTTAATATAATGGATTGGTATACCGACATTCATATTATTTGACTGAATGAAGTCACAAAGAAAGCACATAGTTTCTGTCAGCGCCATGCTGGGAAGACCATTTTCTATTCTGCCAAGTTGACATTCATAACTGACTCAGTAAAATCGAAGACGTCCCAGAGGTTTTATATCGACAGTTTTTTTCACCGGTGCAAGAATCTCCACCAGCCACTTCGAGAATGAGTGATATGGAGAATTTTGTCATGTCTAATATTTCGCGGAGTAAGACGTTTTGTTTGTGTCATTTAGAGAAGCCGAGTGAGTACACTGACTGTGCCATGCTTGTAAAATGCTCTCGGGAACATTATCCCGTCTGACTGGCTAGAAAAGGGAGACGCAAGGGTGTAGAAAGTTCAGTGAAAGAACAAAACATCTGGTGAATTCACAACATCCAACTCCATTTGATGAAAGATCCTTCAAAGTCGTATACAAGATCCCATCAAACCTCTCTCGCAAAGGGAGGAAGTGAAATCAAGACATCTGGTTGCGAATAACTGAGACACTAGCGACCCAAAGGTTCAAACCCTATGTGTTCAAAAGAAATACGTCTCCCCAACCGTTGTCCCTATTATGGCCATCATAAAAATCCAGTCCTCTCAATAATAATTATCCTATTACCTTTCTCTTTCAATGAAATCTACAAGTCTAAGCCACGTAGGTAGGTGTAGACTTCCTGGTTGGGGTCCTCGGGACAGTAAAAACCAATGGTTGAAAACAATTGGTGACATGGCTCAAAATCGTTCTCAATGGCCAGCGCAGATGCATCCACTCCTTGTGACTTATGATTTCCAACGAAACTATATTGTTCTTCGTTATTACTATTCCTTTGTCTCACACCTCTGTTTACTGTCTCTATTATGTATTTCTCCTACTTTCTTCTCTTGCTTTGTGTGCTACATGGAGTGTGGCGACTTGAACCGCCGCACGTATGTGCAAAGTTCTATGTCGAAAACAGACAGAACAGACAGACAGACCTTTCTCTTCCAATATTCCTGTTTATTTATCTTAATTTATGTTTTTTGTTCAAACCCCCTGCCTATTTTAATATTTACTACACTTTTAATCCCTAATTGCACACAAAAAAGTCAATCTTATCTCAGTAATTATGACCTTACTATGTTTGCTTCTTTATCCGATCATCCTGTTTATTACACTTTGTAATTTTATTAAATTGACGCTTGACCAACCGGAAACAAAGTTGTGGAACTTTCCCAACCATTTACCACATAAATACACGAATGTATAGCTACCTAGTTTAAAACAAGCAACAAAACATGCTGTGACTGGAGTAGGATTTCATGAATTCATCAAATTTCCGTAGAAATACTCTTCCTCAATAAAGTGGATACTCTACATACAGGGATATAAAATTAAGATAAAATGCATTACGGTTCAGCTAAATCACTTAAATAAACAATTCGTCATCAGAGAATAAGAGTATTAGAACGAATTAAGATAATGGTATTGATAAAAGATAGTTTTAAATAAATCAGAAATAGTTATAATAAGAGGTAGAATAAAATAATAATAATAATAGTTAATAAGTGACCACCATTTCCTTCTGTACACAGATATCCGGTTTATAAACCCCAATTGAACAAGCCTCTTCCGCAATCGCAACCGTCTCTCTGTGTTGTTTGTCTGCTAACAACAGTAAATCACTTGACAGTGTATCAATATCATGTCCGTGGTCCACAAGATGATTTGTTATTGGACTTTAAAGCACTTTGACTTTAGCTGTTTTCAACCAAATTGACGAATGCTCCACCATGTGAGTAGAAAATTGGCTTTTTCTATCACCTATGTATTTTCTCCTATAAAGATACTCATCAAGCTGATATAAGCTGTTTGAATTGTTGAGGAATGACGCGACCGGTCTTTCCCAGATTGTTGAAGCACCTGCTTCTTGGTGGTTGGTGTTAAGGAAGACGAGTTTTGCAGCATAATGAGTTCTGATTGATAACTAACTGATTGTTTATTTAAGTGATGTAGCTGAACCGTAAAGCATTTTATCTTAATTTTAAATCCCTGTATGTAGAGTATCCATCCAGTTGAGGAAGAGTAGTTCTACAGAAATTCGATGAATTCATGAAATCCTGCTTTCGTTACAACACGTTCGGCTGCTTGTTTTAAATTTGTATCGGGAAATAAACGTTTCAAAAGCTATCTGGTTGAAGACATACATATACTCATGACGATAAATATGATAAACCCAAGGAAGGAAACAAATTCACACATTTCGTACATTTATTCCCCTTAATGAATTTGAACAAAGCAAGAACTACAGTTTTTGCAGAATAAAGTGGTACCGTCTTTTATTTCGTTGCCTTCTCGTCATCTGTGTACAGGCCAAAGACATTATATATATATATATATATATGTATATATATATATATATGTATATGTATATGTATACATATATATATATATATATTCGATAGTTTGGTTTGTAAGGGTTAGTTATGTTTTTACGAGTTGATCACGGATTGATATCAGTTAGAGAACCATTGAAAACCAGAGAGTACTGGATAGCTGTTTCATCCTAGTTTTGGGAATCATCGGCAGTACGCACCCACTGGGATTCGAACCCAGGACCTTGCGGTCCTGGGTTAAAATTGTTTTGTAGATATATATAATACGGATCAAACTCCTCCACATCGCAGAAGCAATGGCAATTCATCTGCTACATCCTGAACTCTGCATACAAAAGAAATTCGTTCATTCATTAGATCAACAATGGACGTAATCTTTCTTAATTTCAGTCTTACTAATTGTATTATTTTGTCTTTTGCATTTTATTATTTCACATCTTCATTTATATTATTCTCTACCCCACCCTTTTGTAATCTCTACCTTCATTAACAATGTTGCTAACTCGACCCATGTCCAATTTCTAGTCAACTATACAACGTCAACCGATTAACTTACTTAATTTTCAATTGTATTATTCTCTACCCCCACCCTTTTTAATTTTAACCACTACTCATTAACACTGTTGCCAACCTGACCTACTCTGAATTCTACTCAGTTGTATTACGTCATCCAATTCACTTGATCAATTTTATTTTATTTTCTATCTAATAAAACGTTTGTTTCCAAGCCAAATAATACTTATATTACGTAATTATCTAAACTTTATAAATCTAATGTACACACACACAAACAAAATTGTATATAAATGCGATTGTACAGCTCAGTGAATGAATTCGCCGAAAAGAGTCTCTTCGCTGAACGCCTTCTTTTCTCTTATAATGTCTGTAGCCTGTAAGCAGCTGATGAGAAGGCAAAGAAATAAAAGATGGTACCACTCTATTCTGGAAAAACAGTAGTTCTTGCTTTGTTCAAATTCACAAACATTAAACACCATATAAATACAACAAAAAACAGTATCTCACGGATATAACCCTATTGGGTAGAAATTGAGCATAATCTGAACGATTCAGGATTGTAATCAGAGTAAGCATTACAGCCTCGTGAATACGTGAAGAATGATACGTGTACATGGTGCTTGTATACGCGAAGGTTGACATTAACGCATGAATAATAGTTCTACCAACAACTGAAAGGGGTTCTTTTGTTGCATTATTACTATTATTACCAGGTGCAGTAGAATCATTTTCTTGATGGAAGCAATACGCAGGCGACTTGATCTTTGAATGACGGACAAACGATGAGCTGGTGTCAACTGTCAAACGTTCTGGAGCTAAAATCACTAAAAAAGAACAAGTAATTTTTATTATTTTTTTATTTTACCTGTGAACTAAGAAAAAAATAACGACGTGATACAAAATATTTAGAAAACTTCAAATCAGAGCTGTATATATAAACAGCGTATCAAAACGGACATTGTAAACGACAACAGTCGTGTAACAGTGATTGAATGGTCTCCAAGCCTAGGTAAGTTCATAATGTTATGTGTTTATTACATAGATTAATTTGTTTTTATGAACATCCTGGTCATGGCAGCTTGCTTACAACTTGGGCTAGCGAAAACAACATCTGTCAGTATGTATTGCATACAATTTATCTCATTCACTTTGTTCAAATCTGGTAAAGTATCAACTCTACTCTGAAAAGTAATTAAAATGTTTACAACCTGATGATTCGCAAGTTTCCTCGATGGATGAGATGACCGTTCTTCCTCAGTGTGGTGTTCTCCTCGGTTCACCAAAATTTACTCCTGAACATTTTATATGATTGGAATTCAACAAAATATCGTCGTGTATTTCACGGAGGAGAAAACAGGTGAGATATCATAATGATGGATTGGTCTGCGCTTCGGGTCGGATAGATAGGACTGTATCACACGATCTACTGTCGGTCAATTAATCTTTTATTTGAAGATTGCAGACAAAGAGTAAATTATTATATTATTATTATTATTATTTCCTTTAGTTCCTAGAGGAACATAGGGCTTCAGCCATGCGTCTCCATTGCGTTCGATTCTCTGCTAGAGTTTTCACCTGGCTCCAGGTCTGCCCACATGCTTTCATCTCCTCTTCACATGATCTCCTCCAGGTCACCCTTGGACGACCAACTCGTCGCTTCCCTTTCGGGTTCCACTCGAGGGCTTGTCTAGTGATGTCACTTGCTGGTTTCCTCAGAGTGTGGCCAATCCATCTCCATTTTTTTCCTGCCTATTTGTTTCACAATGGGTTCCTGGTTGGTTCGCTCCCAGAGATCTTTGTTGCTGATCCTTTCCGGCCATCTGATCTTGAGTATTGAGCGAAGACATCTGTTAATGAAGGTCTGTAGCTTGTTTGAGGTGCTCTTTGTGACACGCCAAGTCTCTGATCCGTATACAAATACTGACTTCACATTGGAGTTGAAAATCCCGATCTTATTTTTGACGCTGAATGATGTTGTCCTCCACACAGACTTCAGAGTAATGAAAGCTTGCCTTGCTTTCCCGATCCTTGCTTTGATATCCTCGTCAGTTCCGCCTGTAGTTGAAACAATGCTTCCCAAGTAGGTAAAGGAGGTAGTTTCTTTCAGGTTTTTTCCATTTATGCTGATTGCTGTCTGTTGTTGTTGGTGTTGGCCAGGGATCTTCATCACCTCCGTTTTCTCTATGTTCACCTGGAGTCCTATCTTTGATGCTTCTTCTGCCAACTTGTTACTTTTCACTTGCATATCTTCCAGTTTGTGGGAAATCAGGCATATATCATCGGCGAAGTCCAGATCCTCCAAGTTCTTTGTGTGAGTTATCATATAATAAAAGTCGCTGAAAATTCTGTACGCTATATAAACACTGTTCAAATAAAGCTATTACCATTATACTGAATTATTACGAAAAAAACCACAGTGTTAAAATGAAATGTATCATTTTATTATCCGCTTGCTTATCGGTGTTTGAATGATGATAGAATGCTGCTAGCTACTAACACTCTACACCACTGGTCCAGATTTGATATGATATATCTTGTCTAGCCAATAAATAATAAGACCGAGAAAGAGGTAAAACTTGGGGGAGGGGTGAAGCCAGCAGTCCCACCCATTCCGCGCCCTGTACATAACACAAATGGATGCACATAATCTTCGTTGCAAGTTTTACCTAGATTTGGTATTTTGACTTCTGTGTGGAAAATGCGTTGAGATAGAGAGGACTGAAATGTGCTGCATATATGGTTGTGGCTATTTGACGGTTACGCGTTCAGATGCAATCACTGTGTTATATCAGGAAGTCTGTAAGAGTTGTTGGTAAGTTGCACATTATATGGTGAGTTGTTCTAAATACTTTCTTCTCAAAATCGAAACTCTGCCTTAGTAAAACATTCGCGTGTACATGCCACAATTGGCTACTGAGACGACCAGTAGTACCTACTACAGTAGCTCGGTAAAAAGAGAATACTAGAATGTCAACACAGTGAAGTGGTATCAGCAGTGTCGGGAAATTGCCTCCTCAAAAAAGACCAATGAAATTACTTCTGTATTTGGAGGAACTGGTGTCGTCGTCGTTCATACCAACGAAAGTTTCAATTAAACGAAAAATGAATCGCCACTGTAGAACAAGAGCAAACCATGTTTGGTTGTTGGGACTGTAGGATACAGATCTTCAGAGAGGATTAGTAGAAGACATCCCCATTAAACAGAAGTGGCGATTTTAAATAACAATAATGCAACGACTGACTAGTCCTCCCAGGTACTAACTACCATTCACATTGATGAAGAGTGGACAGAGGTTCTTCGCTGCTATCAACATTAGGCTATATTCATTATAAAGTCAGCCACTCTTCTGAATTAGTGGATCCTATAAATATTGAAGGACTCTGGGCCCATCTATTCTTTACTGTTGCCGGGAAGACTAGATATCAAGAGAGAAACTATCAAGTTCTGACCATTTGTTTTCTCAAATCTCCTAACTTTAAAAATTAAAGATTGCTAAGGAAATAGAAAAGACTCGTGTGGCATTTGCCAACCGCCTATTACATCAATATATTTGATAAGTTTATTTCAAATATCACACACCCCGATGATGCAGTATTAACAACTGGCTGTTGACAAGGTTTCGAGCATAAATTATTGCTGCTCATAATTACATCAATTTCAGTCACATGCCTTCACAATTCGTTTTTTTTTCTCTCTCCCCTTTGTTGTTGGTTGCGATTTCCCACATTATCTGGTATAGCCGTTGCGTCATTCCCGACTGCATGTGTTTGGTGTTGACTCAATTAACAAAGATTCAGTGATTAACCTAACTATATTACCTTTTATTACTCTCACCCTGTCCCAAACACTCTATTTTGTGATTGCATGCAGATCAATGCATTGCAATGCAATGGCAGAGCTCTGTTTTTTTAGGTTATTTAACTTACTTAGAAGGGGTCAATCATACTATGTCTGGCTACATTGTTATGTTCCGATAAAACAAAACTGACTCCAGTTTACTACTCTGATTGACCTATGTAACTGACTTCACTCACAGTCATTACAAGGCAATTGGTAAATCGCATTATTTCTTTAAATTGAATCTATCGGGTCCTCAAAAGTCAATAAAGTTTATCTCTGAGAGTTGGTTTGTTGGTTTAAATGCCACCCCGACTAACACCGGCGTCACTGAGAATTCTACGTAAAGCTTCTGGTGTTTTTTCCTTCTACGAAAACGCTACAGATTCAATTAAAATAAATAATATAATTTACCGAATACCACATAGGGACTGTTAGTAAGGTCAATTACATAAGGCAAGCTAAGTAGATCGAAATCAATTTTACATTATTGGGGCATGAAATCTTAACTAGACCTAGAATAATTGACCCCTGCTATGTTACATAACCTAAAAAACAGAGCTCAACCATTGCATTGCAGTGTATTCACCCGTGTATAATCACAAAATAGACAAACATCGCCAGGGTTGACAGAATCGAATGTCACCTTTAGGTCAAGAAATATGACGATTGTTGGACACCGGTAAGTATGCCTATGTTGCAGAATCTGTCGGAGGGTAAAGATATGATCAATACACCTTCTTCCTGGTCTAAAGCCTGCCTGGTTCTCTCGTGTTTGTGCCTCCCGAGCACCACTTAGTCTACGCATGATTATTGACCCTAGAACTATATATACCATATTAGTCAATCTAATCCGCCTGTGATTATCACAGGAAGACTTCTCTCCCGTCTTGTATATGGGGATAATAAATGACTCACACCAACCCAACGGGACTTCTGATTCCCAGACTATGCCTAGTACATTAGTTAACGTAGACAGTACACTGTCTCCACCATACCTAAATACTTCTGGAGTCATTCCATCAGGTCCTGATGCTTTCCCTGGTTTCAGACTAGTGACAGCCTTAGTAACGTCAGTTAGGAACGGAGGACCTGTGTCTATATCCTATTCAGGGAGGTGTTGGATGTTCGGTAAGTTGAGTGTGGCTGTAGGCCAATTAAACTGCTCCTCAATGTGTTCTTTCCAGCGTTCCAGTCGTCTGTCCTGGGAGTTAATTATGGTGCCATTTTTCTCAGAGACTGTTTCACTTATCGTTTGTCTTTTACCAAAAGCCGTTAGCAGAGCGTGGTTTCGATCCACCGACCTCTGGGTTATGGACCACTCACGCTTTCACTGCGCCACTCTGTTAAACCATCGTAATCGTATAATAATAACTGATTAAAACACACGACAATATATTCACTATCATAAAAGTTCTTAGTGTATTTCCCAATAAATAAATGAAAAACAAAACGATGTTGTTGTTGTTTTTACTGACGTTTCACTGTTTCAAATGCTCTTAATAGCTTTATAAAAGAGGTAACATTAAACCCGAATGCACAAAATCTCAGTTTATATATATATATATATATATATATATATATATATATATATATACATATATATATAACTGTTCCATTGGGTTCCAGGCGGAACATAGGGCTTCAACAACACATCTCCACTTTGTTCTATTTTCTGTCATCCTCTTGAGCTGGGTGCACGATTGACCGTGATCTCTCATCTCTTCCTCACAAGATCTCCTCCATGTCACCCTAAGAGCGACTTGAAAATGCGAATCTTGTTCCTTGTACCCAGCGTAGAAGATTTCCAAACTAGTTTCAGGTTGATGAAGGCGTATCTTGCCTTTCCGATTCTGACTGACTTCGACATCTTCATCCCTTCCACCTGCAGTTGAAACGATGCTTCCTGGATGGATAAGCGAAGGACGTAACCTCTGTTAAATCTCTCCCATTCATGGTGATTGTTGGTGTTTGTTGGTTATCTTCATCACCTCCATCTTCTTTATGTTCACTTGGAGTACTGTCTTCGCTTCCAGTCAGCTTCTTCAGCCAGTTTATTCGTTTTCGCCTGAAAACCTTCGAGTTTGTGTGACACTGAACATAAGTCATCCACCCAAAAAATCCAGATCTTCTAGAGTCTTCTTATTGGTCGTCCAGCGTATTCCTTTCTCCTCGCTCCCCAGGTACAGTCTTACGCATAATTCAGTCTACCACAATTCAGAATATCACCGATTATAATAGGCAGCCATGTCTTACTTTTGTATGCACTTCGTACGCCCCGCCAAGTTTCCCGTTATGGACCACCTGACACGTGGCACTGTCACATAGCCGGCTGTTGAATGAGGCTGATAAGCACTTTTGGTACGCCATAGTGTTGGAGTGGTTTCCAAATTACTACTCAGTCAACGTTGTTGAAGGCCTTTCTGAAGTCGATGAAGTTGAGACAGGGTGAGGTTTGACTGCCATTCTATGCTTTGGTTTGCGATGACGATGCGTAGAGTTGCCATTTGACCAGCACAAGATTTGCTTTTCCTGAATCCAGGTTGTTCCGATTGATGGAGTTTTGTATCTAGTGTGTCCTTTATTCTCTCCAGGATGATACAACTCAGTATTTTACTTGGAGTCGATAAGAGCATGATTCTACATCAGTTCTTGCACTAGCCTAATTCATTGGCAGCTTGACGAGGTAGCCAGCCTTTCCTCCAATCGGTAGGAAGCTTTGCTTCTTTCCAAACCTTTTGCAGTAATGGCGTGAGCACATCTGCGGCAGTCTCTGTGTCCGCTTTCAGTACTTTGGGGGTTATTCCGCCTGATCCTTCTGTCTTTCCGGACTTCGGTAGCAGTATATATATATATATATATATATATATACGTTTGTCAAGTCGGCTAAGTGGTAAAGATAACAAAACAAGCATGTGTGCACATTGTTGGATTTATAAGCGTATAAAATTATAGAAAAAATTACATGTGTTTACATAATGAAATCGCTTATCACATTAGTGTTGATTTTGTCAGTTCACGGAGGGTATGGATGAGTCTATCACTCCTAATGATTAGACAATTTGGATTCCATTTGATATGAAGGACTTCTCATGATATGAGAAGTTCTTGATGATTTCTGGAACTTTCTTCTGAATTAATTCGACATTGTCAAAATCAATTTTGTGACCTGCTTCTGCAGTGTGTAGAAGACTTATGGCTGATGATTTTTCAAAGCTTTTCTAGTTCACAAGTGGACTTCTCGGTGGTTGAACAGAGGCGGCTCTATGGTGCTCATTTCTTCTGATTATCTTGATTTCTCGTGACGTTTGTCCGATGTACATCGCATCACATTCCCAGCATTTTACTTTATAGAAACAATTAGATTGAAAATCCTTTGGAATTTGATCTTTTATGTGGACAATGTTACTTTGTAGTGTGTTTCGAAGAGGTTTCGAAGAAAACCTGGATGTTGTGCTTATTGAGTACTCTTCAGATAATATCACCTGGCGTTTCTGATCTATATGAAATGACAGCGATTGAGATCCATCCATGTCTTCGGAATACGTTTTCGACCATATTTAATGTCAGTGTTGATTCTGTTAATGAAGTTCTTTGGGTAGTTACATTTTTCTTAAGAATTTCAGTGGTGTTCCAAATTTCTTCTTCTCCTTCTTTGTTGTTCTCATCCATTAACACTAAAGAGGGGTGGTCATCTAAGAAGACTTGAAACAACTGATACCTCTGCGTTGATGGGGTGTAATGATCCGAAGTCTAAATATTTGTCGGAATGTGTTTTCTTCCTGAATATAGATACATTATTGAGATATCTGTTTTCTTTCCTCTTAACTGGTTAGGTGTAGAAAAGGTAGCTCACTGAGATGTGATTGTGCCTCCGAAGTGTGAACTGGATGCTCGGAGACAGACTGTTCAGTTTCTTTAGGAATGAATTGTGTACGTGTACTTTTAGCCGACTGGCTGCTTTCAACATCATAGAACTTTGCACAGATATGCAGCAGCACTTCGACTTGTTACTCGCACTCCATGTACAACACAAAGCAAGAGAGGAGAGTAAAGCAAGATTCAAAAAACAGATAATAAACAGAAGTGTGAGGGAAAAAAAGAGTAATTTGCATGAGCAATAGAGTTTTATTCCATATGAAAAATTACAAAGAGTGAATTAATGTATTTACGCCATCACTGACAATGAGGATCTTGAGCCAGCCACATTCCCACAAATTGTTTCCAGCCTTTATTATTCCTTACCGTCCCGATAACTCTAACCAGATTCTCAGGAAATCTACACCTACATACGTGTCTGGCTGGCTAGCTGGCTTAAACTAACTGTGGTTGTGGGTTTCATTGAATGATGAAACCAGCCATGTTTTCGTTTGACCACCATCATGTGCTATCTATCTAGCTATCTCTCGTCCAACCTCATCCATCATTCCATCCTATGTCAGCTAAGCTAACACTACCCATCAGTCGAGAAACGCGATCGACGGATGGGTGGATGGATGGCTAGGGATGCACGCGTAGTGCATGCCCCAACCATCTCACTCAATCCACACAACTGCTTCACAATCTCGTCAACAGATTGATTTTCCCTCCTCCTTACCTAGCACAGCATTCCACCTATGCCTCATAAAGTCAATATTAATCATCCTATTACACCTACTACCTAACATAACACGAGATATAGACAGAACGCAGAGAATTACTGATATCTCCTACTCTCAACAATGGCTGTCATGTCTCACTTACAACCAGCCAGTCATAATAGAGGACGGAGAGAACTACTGCTGTGCGGCACACACGTGCGTCCTTTGGTCGACAGCCAGCCAACCAGCTGGATATCACGTCTACTAAGCAACCAGAGATGGCGTAAGTTGGTTGGCAAATGCCGAATGTCAGTTAGGGTTAAGTCTATTAGTACATCTACGATGAAATTAAACAGAAATGGAGACAGTGAGCATGCCTGATGGACACTATTGGATGCCATTACTTCAGATGAAAACTCTCCGTAGCCTCTTACCTTGCTGCATGAGTTCAAATAGAGTGCCTTGATGAGTGTGTTTTAACAAAGAAACTGCATGCTTATGAATGATGATTAAGTTATATATATATATATATATATATATATATATATATATATATATATATATAAACAGATTTCGTAAATTCTTCTGGTTTAATACTAATACTTTGGTAAGGTTATTCGCAGTACCGAAAGGTCAGAAAAACAACAATATCACTTTGTTTTCCACCCATTCATTGGGAAATACAAAAACTTTTATAATACAATGAATATCACATAAACCCAACGACCAAAGTTTTTCAAACTGTTAAAAGCGATATATATACATAATATTATCTTGAGAAGACATATATATTTGCAAGCTTTCAAATCAAAATACGCATACCCAATTCAGACAGAATTAATAAACAACTACGAATGGTTGTCGTATCCACTTCTGTATCATAGTTAGTATCGTTTAACTTCATTCCAATTCCTGCCATATCACCACCAGGACAAAGTGGATATTGAATGATGGCGGTGGGAGAGGTACGACGTCGGAGTCCACCTGTTACAACACATGCATGACCCCTACCCGCACCACCTCCTCCTCTAAAACCACGTTTATCATCTGGACTCATTATTGTGTAATTCAAAGCATCTAGACAAGGTGCAGCGATAGCGTGAATTAAACTCGGTGGAATTAAATGAGGTGAAAGGTTGACAAGATGGTAGATTAAACGTAGGACAGCTGGACGCTCACTAGTAGCACCAGGCATATAAGATGATTCAATATTGTTTCGAGTTGTCAGAGAGGATTTTATCGAGATGCCAGAATAATCCTTAGCAGGTGAAGAACGACGGAAACCTAAGACGACAAGGAAGAAAAAAATAAAGGCAAAAATAAACATCACTCAAAAATTTGAAAGACCCCATAAGCACGCGTGAAGTTCAACTTTAAGCACCAGTAAGTACCGATGGACAAATGAAAAATGACTCACCAATTATGTGAGGACAAAGGCTATTTTTAAGTATAAAATACATATATAATATTCATGAAAATAATGAACAGAAAGGTATGGAAATGTTACGCAGGGCACCTTTCTTCGAAACCTGTGACAAAAATATCTCTAAGTTCTTGGATTTAAGTGTCGACATAGTAATTTAACCTTATTCTTAGTGCTTGTACTTATCTAGGTCCTCTAACACTTAACCTAAGCCCAATTCTTTCATAACCTAATCTTAACGTGAAAATATCCCTGAATTAAACCTAAGCTTAAGGATGATAACAACAGCTTTATTCTGAACAATGTTTATACATTGTACAGAATTTTCACTGGAGTTCATTACATGATATTTTCTCTTTGTTCATTATCTTCAACAACAAAAATTACTTGACTGACAGTAGATAGTGTAACACAGTTCTATCTTCGCATTCACTTCGGCAAGTTTGACAGAGTAACGTAGAAACGCATTGAGTTTCTTCACTGTCGTAGGGTCCTTGCATTTTTTCAAATAGTGGAAAATACCCATTGGAACATTAGATTGAGAAGAATAAGAAGTTCAGCAAAGATATCACCTTTTATTCACTGTCATAATTATGTAGAATCAAACAAGAATTGTCTCCATGTAAAATTATGTATTTAAATGCGATTGTACAGCTTTTGAAAATGAAATCGCCGAAAAGATATCTTTGCTGAACTTCTTATTCTTCTCAATCTAACAGTTCTATCTATCCGACCTGAAGCTCAGACCAATCCATCATTATCATATTTCTTCTATTTTCTCCTTCGTGAAATACACGACGACATTTTATTGAATGTGAGTTATATAAAATGTTCAGGAGCATATTTTGGTGAACCGAGGAGAACACTACACTGAGGAAGAACGGTCATCTCTTGTATTCAGATAGTCACATCATCCATCGAGGAAACTTGAGCAACATCAGGTTGTTAACGTTTTAATTACTTGTCAGAGTAAACAAAATCTATTAGAGCTGATCAACGGCACATGTCAAGTGATCCACAACGGAAAACTCAGCGAGGCGTTTGAAGTAAACACAGGAGTCAGATAAGGGTGCTTATTATCACCAATGATATTCCCAATTGTGGTGGACTGGAATATGCATCAGACAGTGGGAAACGAGGAGACAGGGGATATCCTGGACCGACGTGACGAACCTAGAAGACCTGGATTTCGTGGATGATTTATGTTTGATGTCACACAAAATCGAAGACTTACAAGCGAAAACTGACAAACTGGTCGAAGAAGCAGCCAGAGTAGACAGGACTCCAGGTGAACATAGACAAGACGGAGGTTATGAAAATAACTAACAACAACAACAACAGCAGCAGCAACATCCAGCGCCAATCACCATCAACGGGAGGGATTTGAAAGAGGTTACTTCATTCACTCATCTAGGGAGCATTGTCTCAAATACAGGAGGAACGGACGAGGATGTCAAATCGACAATCGGGAAGGCGAGAAACACATTCATCAACATGAAACCTAACTGGAAATCTTCGTCACTCAGCATCATCAACAACAAAATTCGGATTTTCAATACAAACGTCAAGTCAGTTCTTCTATACGGATCAGAAACTTGGCCAGTGTGTCACAAAGAATATTTCCAACAGCCTGTTGCAGACCTTTATCAACAACTGTCTTCGTTCTATACTCAAGATCAGATGACCGGAAAGAATCACCAACAAGAAACTATGGGAACAAAGAAAACAAGTACCAATCGCCCAACAAATATGCAGGAGAAAGTGGAGATGGATTGGACACTGGCTGAGGAGGCCGTTGGGTGACATCGTGCGTCAGGCCAACGCTCGAGTGGAACCCGAAAGGGAGGCGGCGAGTGGGACGTCCAAGGTTGACATGGAGGAGATCGTGTGAAGAGGAGTTGAAACATTATGGACTAACATGGATGCAGGTGAAAAGTACAGCAGAAGACAGAAGCAAGTAGAGACGTGCAGTTCAAGCCCTATGTTCCACTAGGAACCCAAGAGAACAATAATAATAATAATAAATTAGAGTTGATATTTTACCAGATTTGAACAAAGTGAATGAGATAAATTGTATGCGATACATACTGACAGAGGTTGTTTTAGGTAGCCTAAGTTTTAAGCAAGCCACCGATGTTCCATTAAAGTGATGGTAGCGAAAGCAATTAGGTGGTGATCAGAAAAGATTCTTTTTTCTAGTTGAGATGATTATTGTTTTTAATAAATTTGGATAGGATTATATTATAGATGCCGGAGTTTATCTGAAAGTGTCCTCACTGAGCTTCATTTCAAGGTACACTGGAGAGGTAGTACCGTGATGAGAGCTATCTGCCAGCCAAAATTGATAGACAGCAATTTACGTCAGTGTTTACGTCCCGAATCTCGGTCATGAGAAAAAAACAAGAACAAAGACTAACTCAACAACCAATCACAGCAGACACAGAGTGGGCGGATACGATCAGCAGATATATCAACAGACTATAAGAAACGGCAATAAAGAGATGACAGAATAACCTTCAGTAAGAAAACAACCGATCAGAAGACGCTACCTCTCTGCTAACAACAACAAATAATAATGTACATAAAATCTATAAATCTATCTATTGATTTTCTCAATAAACGATCTGTTGTTTGGCCCTTATCTTCTGACGTTACAGTACTCCGTTAGTACATACTGGTGCTTAAAATTTAACTTAGCCAATGGAAGCAATAGATAATCGCAAACTTTGAAAACGTATTCGAAAAGTCAGGATTGGATGTCACACGGCACGATAATGCGGTGTTTTGTTTACTGGAACACCGTATCGAGCACAGTCTGCTTTAAAGGATTTCATCATGAGCTGACATTGGTTATAGAACCAACCACTGAGCATCTGTTTCGTCCACTTAGTGCTTTGGACTCCCCTTCAACACACCGCCCCACCGCCAGGGTTCCAACCTAGTACCACCTTCTGGTTATACGAGGCGAGCTAGCCCGTAGACCATTCATCAGCCACTAAGATCCGACCGATTCAATAGCCAACCTATGAATTCCAACTTCTTGCAATTCACGCACGATATAGCGCGACTGGCACAGGCCAGTGTCACCAGTGACGAGTATTTGTCCTCACACCTTCGAACTGCTGTACCCCACTGATCACAGCTTCCCATTAGGACCCATCCAAGCAACTACCTACCTGAATAGGGCCAGTCGCTAGTGAGCGTCACACAGAGGTTGAGGAGTCTCAAACTAGGACGAAACAGTTGTCTAGCAGTAGTCCCAGTTGGTTTTCCTATGGTTCTCTTCTAACTGTTGTCAGCTAATGATGAAAAGCCTGAAAACAATCAAATCCCAAACCAACCAACAGCTTTAGGGTTCCCCTAGAGCTTGCTATTCTACTGAGCAGATCACCTACTGTAGAACTCCACCTGTCATTAGGTAAAGTATCTGAGAAACAATAGCAAAATGAATCCCACATTAATTTGTTAATTAGATATGTGGTTATAATTAATATGGTTATGAACAATAAATTGTGTTCAAAACGTCATCCAGTAAATACTACTGTTTCACTGTTATGTATCTAATAAACAAATTAATATGGAATTACATACTACCACAGTGCCCAAGTTTTACACATTTATTGACAACAGAATGAAACTAGAAAACAGCACACTCACTAAGCCCATTCGAAAAAGTGTTCATTACTTCATATTTCGGTCTCAGAAATGGTGAGACGGAGAAGAAGACTTCAACGCTTCGATTGGCTTCGATTGTGAGCTATATGACTGACAACGACGACCAAATCACATGAATTCAACAACACTATTCAACGAGACCCGTCGCGCATCGAAATATGTTAAGCTAACACGAGCATTCTTCACTAATGTTGTAAGAAGTAGGATTTGGACACTGTGGTGAATTACAGTTCACGTAGCAGTGCAACGTCATGGAACGATGATCGTTGTGCTTCGTTCAACCACGCCAACACTACGAAGCCATAATCAAACTGACAGAGTTACTGTACATTCTCACCTCGGAGATACGCCAAGTTTCACAGGCGGCGTACAATAAGATTGTGTGTGCGCACGGAAGCATTGTGAACTCAACCTTTGAGAATGAGGCTAACGTCATGTCATGGAGGCATCACAGATTAGAGAGAGAGAGAGGGATCTTATCTGTTGCACCTCTGCCTGTATTCTCATACACAACCACTTTTAAATACACGAACTTATAGACTAACTCTAACAACAACCCACCTGAGAGGGTGGGTGTGTAAATGCAAGCGCCTGCCGATCTTGCAACACTATATTGCACTTAAACAGTGCAAAGCACAGCAAAGCATACTTACAAACACTGACAGCCAGATGATAAGGTATGACTCAGGTAGTCTGTATACTGCTGGCCATTAAGACAATATCATCTGCATACTCGAAGTTATAAAGTCTTTCTCTGGGAAGCAGATCTACACCACCAAGCATGTCCTTCAGAGGAATGCCAGAGAAAAAACGAAGTTGGTGGCTGTGCTGGAAGTTGTGGGGCTGGCTAAAATTAGTTTATGATTTGTACAAAGTTTTACCGAAGACAGTTCCAATTATTTAACCTGAAATCATACAGTCTGCTTTCACCCGCAATTTGACGGGCTCCCATCTTAACCTGAACGCCTGAAAAATGCATTTAAACCCCCGACTAACATCAAGGGATGCATAGATTGTGCATGATTGACATAAAAACACGGATTTTATTGCACATTCAGGAGGCTGTAATCAATTGGTGTTTTAGGCTTGTCAGAGCGGCTCTGATCAAATCTGTCTGTTCTCTGATACGATAAAGCGTTCGAAAGTTCTACGTGTCAAGCCTTAAAAGTGACACGTTAATTTAAGACATTTATGTTAGATAACCATAGTGGAGATCAGGTTTCAGAGAGCATCTATTATTCATCAATGCCTCAAAACTACAAATAACTTGAGATTTCAACAACAATAACAAACAAACTGAGGAAAATGAAGATAACATCAAAATGTACGGCTAAAACAAAGTATTTTGTAAATGAGAATAATAATAATAATAACGAATGTTTAAATATCTTGTTTATGAGATGATAAGTGGAAGGATGCAAATGATTTCAGACTTTTACCTGAATTCCCCCACTTTCATATTTCTCATGAGAGAGGATTGCAATACGGCAAGGAAAGCTACACACCAAAGTGCATATCTGTATCTGTCTTAACGGACTGCTTTCCAAACTTTCAACATGCAGAGGAAGAGAATGCCACTCCAATGGTTGTCCATGGACCAAAAAAGGTTCATAGGCGATTCTCTCCCTTCTTCCCTTCCTCTCTCTGTATGTCCACCACTATGGTCACAATCACAAAACACTTGGATTCTTCGTGTAACCTTTCAAATTTTAGTAGTTGGTGAACAGGAATTGGTAGGGGCAATGAACCCGTTAGCCACAAAAGAGCACCTTAAGGGGACGGATAAAAGTCCACCGCCAGCCGTATTACATCACTTACAAGCGGCGAAATAGTGAAGAACTAAATAGATGTCTCCTTCTTTTCAAACAATTAACAACAGTGAATGTATACTGTACACGGGCATATCCAGAACATCAATAAAAATTGAACTGACCAAGCAGAAAATGTGTGGCGAGGAGCTCCCGTGTGTTGAATAACTACTGCTTCCACCCAGTATCGACGTAATCTAAGTCAACAATCAGTCAATCATCCAGTGTGGCACGGACAATAGGTTACATACATATTTCATTCCAGTCAGTCGGTTGGTCCACTTTATAATAACACAAGATAAAAAAGGCTCATTGGCCAGTGCCAGTCACGAAATACCGTGCGTGAATTGTCAGAAGTTGGAACTCATCAGTCGGCCATTGTATTGGTCGGATCCCAGTGGCTGATGAATGGTTTGAGACTCATCAATCTCAATCTGATGCTCACAAACGACTAGCCCTATACACGTAGGTAGTTCCCTGGATGGGTCCTAGTGGAAAGCTGTGATAAGTGGGGTACAGCAGTTCGAAGGTGTCAGGACAAATACTCGTCACTGGTGACATTGGCCTGTGCCAGTCGCGCTACATCGTGGGTGAATTGCCAGAGGCGGCTGATGAATGGTCTACTGGCTGGCTTGCCTTGTATAACCAGTAGGTGGTCCTAGGTTGGAACCCTAGCGGTGGGGTGGCGCGTACTATTGAAGGGGAGTCCTAAGCACTAAGCGAATGAAACAGATGCTCAGTGCAGTGCTCCCTATTGGTTTTCCAATGGTTGGTTCTATAACCAATGTCAGTCCATGATGAAATCCTATAACTAATCACAAATCACTACTGACGTACAACAAAAAAGCACAATGAAAAATTAGCATCACATTACAACTACTTACGAGTAACACCGACTCCTTTTCTTGACAATTCATTTATTTGATCTATGCCTTCATTTCCTCGATAACAAGATGATTGTTCACTAGGTTGACAATGTGAAGAAACTGTGGTAGGACTGTCATACGGAATCACAAATCTAGCTCGGTGGTGATGAGGCTGATGATGATAGTCAACTCCTCTTAAAGCGGAATTTCCAATTAATTTATTTGATGGAACTACATTATTCTGATAATAAGACAAATCCATACACCTAAAATAAATCAAATAACTCATAGATCATTTATATTAATTACACTGTTAAAAATGAACATCGAAAATATTCCCCCCCCCCCCATAATTCACCATAGGAAGAATCTCGGTACATATCACAAAAGACTGTTTAATGACTATAGCAATGATGAAATCACACTAACTTCCTTGTTGGTGGATGGAATCCACGATAATGCACATTTCATCTTATTTGGGACTACTCGTCCGCCGGATGTACCTGCATTTCTCCAGTGAGTGAGATGACGGTGTATACTTCTCCCCCACTAAAGCTCGAACCCAATACTTCGGTTCAATCAACTTATTAACGGAAAAGTTCAAACAGTCAGTAGGAAAGTGCAGGTACATCCAGTCGACGAGTCTCAAAAAGACGAAATTTCATCCAGGATCCCATCAACCAATTTACTTCAAGATAAATAATCCTACATCATCCAGGGTATCGGCACAAGACGCCAACAAGTTATCAACCTGAGGCCGACCAATTCGGTCTAATAATATTAACTGGAAAGTCCGAATTGTGAATCAAATAATTGCTGATAGCCGTTGCAAAAGAGCAAGAGGCGATTCTCATGGCCCAAGGGGTCTAGTGGGTGACACTGGTGTTTGAAACTATGAGAACACCATAACTCACTGGAGAATGCAGATGTATATCCAGCTAATTGACGAGTCGTGTCAAATAGGAGGATGAAATGCACATCCCGGTGGATACCATCCACAGATTTAAAACATTGTTTTATCACTTTTAAAGTCATAAAGTATAATTTTAAAAAATACACAAATAACTAACTAACCGAGAGATTAACAGATCTAGACGACATTTCAAAAGAAGCACCATATCCTGAGCACTGTGTACATAATAACGTAGACAACGTAGAGCTGAACATCGCAATGATCGATTGTAATGCCAAAGAGGAAGACGCAAACTACACACACACAAAAGAAAGGTAGCAATAGTTGTAAAATTTATCTCGGAAGGTTTATACAAATCAGATAAAATTTCCAAAAACAAAAAATGTAAGTGTTGGCTTACAGGGATTTGACTGGTTTCAGGATTTTCACCATGAGCTGACATCGGCTACAGAACCAACGATTGGAAAACTAACTGGGAATACTGCCAGACAGCTGTTTCGTCTACGTACACTGGGGCTCTCCAGCAGTACGCACCCATCCCCGGGGTTCGAACCCCTGACCACCCTCCGGCTATACAGGGCGCTATATGTACATCCTGGATTGACAGAAGTTGGGACTCCTAAGCTGGTCACTGATTCGGGTTTCAGTGGCTGAAGGGTCTACCAGCTCGTCTAACAACCGGAAGGTCTTGGGTTCGAACTGTGGAGTTGGGTTCACACTGCTCAAGAGCCCCAAACTGGGAAGAAACAGCTGTCCGGTACTCCCTACCTGGTTTTCAATGGTTCTCTAACAGATGTCAGCTCACGATGAAAATTTTTTCAACATATATTTATATATATAGCGCAACCGCCAGCCAATATCATCATAAACAAGTAGCTGATCTGTTACCAGACTTGGTCCATCCAGCTGGTTACTTCTCACTAGAACTCCAGATAACTTCTTCTTGTGCAGATAGATCCAGGGACTGGCGAGTGAGTATCAGACTAAATTATCAAGTGTTGGTTTGCAAGGATTTTGATTGCCTACCACAGAGTTGGGATCACAAGTTGACATTAGCTGGGGAATCAGAAATCGCTTTGTATAAGCGCTGGCTGTCCAGCACTTCCTACCTGCTTTTCCGATGGTGTTCTCTAATTGATGTCAACTCGTGATAACAAACCTGTACATAATATTTTACACTGAAACGTATTTATAAAAAAACAGGTTTTTCTATTAGGCATTATGAAAAAAGCGATGTTCCACACATATAATTGTTGTGAATAGAAAAAAGCAAGGTACTGAAAAACGCACACCAGATATACGATCATCTCAATAGACTTTAATCCTTACTTGCAAAAAACAAAAAATCAACCAGTAAAGAGATGCTTAAATATCATTAGAATTTAATATGGATTTAATTTTGAGTACTATATTGATAATGACGTAAAGGCACACACACACATACATACAACTATAGAATCCATTAATCATATAGACGATGCATTTATTAAGTAATATTATCAATTATTAAATCAGTATGCGAACGTATTTTAAATGCAGTTCAATTTTTTGGCAATAAGTGAGTATATTTCAGGGTAAAATATATATCTATCTCTATGCAATTACGGCAACAGCAAAGAATAGACACCATCACAATCAAATGACGCTGAACCACAAACCAACCAGATCGCTGGCCAGCATTACAAATAGTTACTTTTTTCCATATTCTTCATTGAATGTTTCACCCTGATTCAAGGTAAAATTAAGGTACGGTTATGATGAAGGTTAGAGCGATGCTTCCAACGAAGATTAGGGTTAGAGGGGAACTTTCAGCGAAGATTATGAAAAGCATACATTTGTGTAGCACTGAACGGTCTGACTGACTGACTGGTTTCAACGTAGAACTATGCACAGATTGGTTGGTTCAAGTCCACTGTTTACCTGTTGCCCTATTCACTTCCACTACTATCCTAAACATTGCAATAGTTATTTTTACTAATTCTTTTCTTCCAACTGACTGGGTGAATATTATATGTTGAAATAATACAAAAATAAATTGAAAGCACAACTCGCTAATACCAAAAACACACACATACGCTGAGATTATTGACATTATTTATCTAAGGAGTCAATTCACTGAAGTGAATCGCCTTCACAAAGCTTCAACATGAGAAAATGACGAACACGGCTAGATTTCCACAACTAGACAAAAGGATCATCAGAAGCGTAAAAGACATAGGGTGAGTTAAGGAAATAACCTGAAGATTCGACACATGCGAACGATCATTTTGCACTTCAGTACATTTGTCTGCATACATGTGCAAGCGTAAAGACGTGCTAAAGGACTTCATCCTAACTGACTGCAAAGACTCACTTCACTTGTTATCACGGCATAATAATCTCGTTTACTTAGAATATGCGGATGTGATATAGTCCTCCCTCCTGAGTGAAGACGCTGACAAAATATAACAGCCTTCTGAACACACCTTGAGCAGCAGCAGCAGCAGTCTTCGAATGTTTGGCATGCCAGCAATTCGCCCCTGCTGTCAAATGTAAGAGGATGAGGCTACAGGGCTACATCGGATCACCCCTAGAGTAAAGACAGGGAGGAGTGAAGTGGTTGACAACTTCACAGTTATTTCGGAAGTTGCATCAGCTAGCCAACCGCAATGGGTGGTTGATCGCTGACAAAATCTCATTACGGATACAGAAGGTTCGTCTCGCATTCGCTAACCAATCTACGCCATCTCTGGTGGCTTAGTAGATGTGATATCCAGCTGGCTGTCGTCCAAAGGACATACGTGTGTACTGCTTGGCAGCAGAAGCAGCAGTTCCCTCCGTCCCCCTTTATGACTGACTGTGAATGAGTGAGTCAGTGACACATGACAGCCATTGATGAGAGTAAGAGACATGGAAAGGACGGCCGACTTTGCTGTCTTTCACAATAGGTGTAGTCTGCGTTCTGTCTATATCCTGTGTTAGGTTAGGTAGTAGGCGTAATGGGTGATTAATACCGAGTTGGTGAGGCATCAGTGGAGTGCTGTGCTAGGTAAGGAGGAGGGAAAATCAATCTATCGGCGAGATTGTGAAGCAGTTATATGGATTGAGTGAGTTGGTTAGGACATGTGTTAAGCATCCATGCATGAGTCCGTGGCCATCCATCCCTCGATCACCTTCCTCGACTAACGGGCAGTGTTAGCTTAGTTGACATAGGATGGATTGATGGATGATGTTGGAAAAGAGCTAGCTAGATAGCACGTGGTGGTGGTCAGATGAAAGCATGGTTGGCTTCATCAGTCAATGAAACCCATCTAAGCAGGTGTAGAGTGGCTGTTTGGCGTCATCGCGATGGTAAGAACCAATAAAAGCTTATTTTGCATCGATTATGTCACGGAAATCCGAAAGGCAGATTTCCAACTACTTTCAGAAATCTAGCCAACGCAAACAGAAAAAGTAAAAATAATAATAATAATAAGTGGAGTAAATTTAAATGAACAGGAACAAAAAAAGTACCACTGATCAAACTTGAAAATTCGATAACACTTACATATGATATACTGCCTGTAAGAGTGGAATTCTTAATGACGAATTAGCAGACAACACCTGAAACACTCTTTTGGATATAAGTACGAGGACATTAAGTCTGGCAGCAATTCTCTGTTGTGTAGATACATCATTTGTAGGATCAGATCGATTGTAAGGTTGATAGATGACCATGAAGTCATTATAAATGCCAGTTAAGAGATCTTGCAAAATGGAAAGTGTATCTACCAACGAGAAATAAGAAAAAACAACTAAAGTGAGAAGACACAAATTTGGTTTAGTTACACATGCGTACAATAAATAAATAAATAAATAATTAATCAACAAATGGGAATATATCCAATTCAATTTGGACTTTCCCGTTGACTGATAACTCCATCAAAGTGCTCACCGGTCTCAAGTTGACGATATGTAGGCTCCTTGTGCATAAGCTTAGACTTTCGATGTCTGATTATTTGACTTGAGCCTCAGTGGGGAAACACTATTACTCACTCACTGGGAAATTCAGATACGTACAGCTGAATTGCAAGTCCCAGCCAGTTAGTTGGTTTTCGCCAGTAAGTATTCGAGTTTATGTGTCATTAAACGACATACATTACCAGCGAAATCCAGATCTTCTAGAGTTCTCTTATCGGCTCAGTGTATTCCTGTCTTCTTAGTCCCCATACATGGTGTGCCGCATAATCCAGTCAAGCACAATTAGGAATACTATCGTCAGTGATAATAAGCACCCTTGTCTATACTCTAAATACCTACAGATTATTTAGGGATAGAAAGGGAAGTGATGGAATGCTCTGGATGCGCATAACTGATGTCATTTCATGACATACAAACTCGATGATTGAGTACTATCTGAGAAACTGGAGAGAGGAGACCACGAATGCAGTCTCCTGGAAGATACATGTATACGTCAATGGGTTAAACGTCACTGAAGACAGCTGCATACCGCATAAAATGATAAAATCTGAGCCGCTGTATTTCAAACAAATTTTAATTAACAAGTTCATCAATACACAATGGAATAAGAAATTTTTGAAAAAACAATACCTTTTTTTAGATCAATACCAAGAGATGACACGCTGTGTTGAGCTGAGGCTGAAGCAAATATTTCAAAAAAACAAAAACAATAGTTAGAACTGTTTCAAAATTAGTTTCGATGCTAAAACTCTATAGAATAATACAAACAAGACCAAAGTTGATTGAGGTCCCTTCAAGTCACGGAATCCATGAGATGAAAGTGCCAACTAACACACTTGACAAGACTTCATCATAAGCTGACATCAGTTGGATAACAATTGTAAACCACCGAGGAGAACTGGTTAGTTGCTTCCTCTTGTAGCCGGAAGGTCCCAATTTAGAACCCTAGTAATGGGTGGGCGGCTACTGCTGAAGCTGAGTCCCAAACTAGGCAGACAAAATGGCTGGCTGTCCAATACTTTTAGCAGGTTTTCCAAGGGTTCTCCAACCGATGTCAGTTCATGACGAAATCCTGTTACCAAACAAATCAAATGCCTGCAAACCAATAGTTGTATAACACATTTCATATCGTAATCTGATCTGTACTGTCAGGGTGGAAAGCAGTACTAAGTGGAGTACTTCAGGGAACTGTACTAGGCCATTTGTTACTCCTACTATACGTAAATGAACCGCCGAAAATTCTTACCTCATCTTCACTATTAAGATTTGGAAAAATGTAGATAATGACGATAGCTCGGTCTTATAAAGCGATCGACATAAATTAATTGTATGGTCGAACCTCTGGAGTCTGAAAATTAATTCCAAGAAAAGCGCAGTAATGCACTTGGGTCAGACGTCTTACACGTAGTACTCCATGGGAGACAAAGAACTGCCATATGTTAGGGGGCAAAAGGACTTAGGAATTAATGTAGGCCATGACCTAAAAACAATGGCAAATTGTAATCGAGCCGCAGCTAAGGCTTTTCGAATGCTACGGGCACTTCTAAGGGCATTCAAACGAATATACGAGTCTCTGTTCAAAGTAATCCAGGCAACATATATCAAGCCTCATTCAGAATACTGCATACAAGCAGTGAGCATATGATTCAATAAGGAAGTACATATCTTAGAAACAGTACAGAGGACAGGAACCAAATTAGTTAGTGGTATATCACACCTTCCTTATGAAAACAGGATAGAACATTTAAATCTATTCCCACTATCATACCGAAGGTGGAGAGGCAACTTAATTTTGGCACACCGTATACTGAAGGGTGATTTAGGGATTGACCTTTCAAACCTTTTCTCTCCCTCTAGGATACATTTACAAGCTCACCACAAAAGGGTGCTCAAACCGAGGTCGCATAAATACGTTTGGAGTTTAGATTCTCTCGCAGATTGGTCAATGACTTGACCTCCTAATCTAATTCAACAGTATCAGCTTCAGCGAGAAATTGGACCTCTGCAGACATATATTGCTAGGTTTAACACAGACAGTAGGAGCCTACTATCCTTATTACCTAAATCTGAACTTCTGTACAAAGTCCTGTATCAAAACAAATTTACACGAGACTGCATATCTTTGCCTCCAATAAGACTAAGTCAGACAGAGTACAACACGAATTACTATTCTGAAACATCACGTCAGTATGAGACCACCCTTCACTCTTTAAACAAGCCTCATGAAAATAAAAAACGGCTGATACGTGAAGTCCTCGTAAGAGATGTTAAGGAGTATCTCACGATTTCGGACTTCATATCCTGTGACCTTGCTTGGAAATCCGAGCAACATAAATGATATGAAATCTGATCACGTCACGGATATACAGGGAGTTCAATAACCGCAGAATCCAAAATATTTCAAAAAAATAATATACTTGCGCTAGCAGTAAATCTCCACCTCCTTAAATACACAAACTCATAATATTTATACGTTATTATACAAAATAATCTCACTTCTAGTGGTATGATATCCTTTTAATCTTCGAAAAGAAGATTCTTGAGGCATTAATGATGTCAAAAATTAGATGTTCGGGAAGAATAAGCCACTCCTGTTATTAATTATTCGATCTGCATGCGCCATACAACTTCTAGTGTGTTCCTCGAATACATGAACGCCTTTAAACATGCATAAGCATCAAAAGCAGATTAATATCACACTTGTAAACGCGCTACAGGCCGAAGGTCGTTACAGCGTCCAATGAGTCAACTAAACTACAGTGATATATTATATTTAAAGAAATACATCCAAAATACTATAAGAAATTACGTAAAAATATAAATGACTATTGGATTTATCAGCATTAAGTTTTCGAAATGTTACGCTAGAGGACAATGCACTGAATTTCAGTCGGTTTAAAACTTCAGTAGAAACATTAGAACTTTTCCTTGTTTGAGTTTCGGACCTACGACTACAGATAGTTTAGACGGCCTACTGTGTTTTTATATCCACAACAAACCTTTGTGAAGTTCACAATTCCACCTACTAACATTTAGTATACTGTTTCGAACCAGGTTTCAATAGTAATAATAACTTATATTCCTTATAAACAGGTACGTTTACATGAAATTCATGCCATTTGTATGAACTGCAGTCGTGATTTATCAATCAGTTATTCAGAATAGGTCCTTATAAATGTAAAACTGTAAATCCTTCATGAAAGTAGCAATCTGTAGTTCATCTCGTTTCCAGCTCATGGTTATGATCAACCAATGAGCAGCCAATATTTAGGTAAGTGCTATTTCAGGAATAGAACGTCCTGAGAAACTGCGAAATGGTACAAAACACAATGAAGGGTAATATATCATTGGAATTACATTTACGAGATATATACAAGAAGGAGCTATAGAGTCCCTGGAACGATAAAATACATTTGCAATGTAAAATCCTAACCATATTCGTCTCATCATAGAATCTAAGACGTTTTCGGTGAGAATATACCTTTCTCAAATATTTGCGTCGATGTCAACGTTTTCCTCCATAAGCATAACCAGACTATACGAGAGTGAAGAGTGCAAATGAAGAGAGTAAATTTTAACTTCATTAAATCCTACGTAGCTAAGATATAAGAGAGTACAGTAGTACTCAGGTAAAAAATTATTGTGAAGTAAGTGACTAATAGTTTAGTGGGAAGTGGATCTAAAAGTCTGAAAGATTAGAACCTATAGAGTATGCTGACCTGTAAGATTTCTCACGAATTTGTGTAAGGCCCATGGAGTAGATACTTGACGCGAAGCTGAGCAGCCTAGTAGATGTTCGTAGCAGAAGCATTTTCTTAAATTTACATCTAAGCCATCAATATTGTTTTCATATGTTCAGCCACCGTATTCCGGATGTTCGGACGCCAGATAACCTCATATTTGAAGTTTCGTGTCATGATTATCTGACACACCTCGCTCAATAGAACAATAATCTTGCAGCCCCTCAACATTCTGTTATCAAAATAATTATGTTTGAACCATTTGGTTTTGTTTCGGGTTACGGTTGAGCACCGACAGTTCGTCTACCTGAAAGCTATTTGTGCAGTGCTGCAGTACGAAGCCCTCCAGTTTAGTCTGATCTAGTATACAAGTTCTGCAGCTTTGTCTGGACGATCGAAAAATACCCCTGGACTATTTCATGATATTTTATGCATACTTTCACTGAAAACTACGTCAAAAGAACTGAGACCGAAAGCCCACTTGACAGCAATTCGGATTCAGATTATAAGGATAGAAGGCTCTCGTTGCCTATGTTAATCCCCTCGATATGTATCCCTGCAGAGATTCAGGTTCTCTCTGAAAGCGTTCACCGATAGAGCTGTTACTACTGAATCAGGTAAGGAGTTCCAAAAGTTGGCCACTCTGTGAGAGAATCTAAACTCCAAACGTATTTATGCGACCTCGGTTTGAGCACCCTTTTGTGGTGAGCTTGTAAATGTATCCTAGAGGGAGAGAAAAGGTTTGAAAGGTCAATCCCTAAATCACCCTTCAGTATACGGTGTGCCAAAATTAAGTTGCCTCTCCACCTTCGGTATGATAGTGGGAATAGATTTAAATGTTCTATCCTGTTTTCATAAGGAAGGTGTGATATACCACTAACTAATTTGGTTCCTGTCCTCTGTACTGTTTCTAAGATATGTACTTCCTTATTGAATCATATGCTCACTGCTTGTATGCAGTATTCTGAATGAGGCTTGATATATGTTGCCTGGATTACTTTGAACAGAGACTCGTATATTCGTTTGAATGCCCTTAGAAGTGCCCGTAGCATTCGAAAAGCCTTAGCTGCGGCTCGATTACAATTTGCCATTGTTTTTAGGTCATGGCCTACATTAATTCCTAAGTCCTTTTGCCCCCTAACATATGGCAGTTCTTTGTCTCCCATGGAGTACTACGTGTAAGACGTCTGACCCAAGTGCATTACTGCGCTTTTCTTGGAATTAATTTTCAGACTCCAGAGGTTCGACCATACAATTAATTTATGTCGATCGCTTTATAAGACCGAGCTATCGTCATTATCTACATTTTTCCAAATCTTAATAGTGAAGATGAGGTAAGAATTTTCGGCGGTTCATTTACGTATAGTAGGAGTAACAAATGGCCTAGTACAGTTCCCTGAAGTACTCCACTTAGTACTGCTTTCCACCCTGACAGTACAGATCAGATTACGATATGAAATGTGTTATACAACTATTGGTTTGCAGGCATTTGATTTGTTTGGTAACAGGATTTCGTCATGAACTGACATCGGTTGGAGAACCCTTGGAAAACCTGCTAAAAGTATTGGACAGCCAGCCATTTTGTCTGCCTAGTTTGGGACTCAGCTTCAGCAGTAGCCGCCCACCCATTACTAGGGTTCTAAATTGGGACCTTCCGGCTACAAGAGGAAGCAACTAACCAGTTCTCCTCGGTGGTTTACAATTGTTATCCAACTGATGTCAGCTTATGATGAAGTCTTGTCAAGTGTGTTAGTTGGCACTTTCATCTCATGGATTCCGTGACTTGAAGGGACCTCAATCAACTTTGGTCTTGTTTGTATTATTCTATAGAGTTTTAGCATCGAAACTAATTTTGAAACAGTTCTAACTATTGTTTTTGTTTTTTTGAAATGTTTGCTTCAGCCTCAGCTCAACACAGCGTGTCATCTCTTGGTATTGATCTAAAAAAAGGTATTGTTTTTTCAAAAATTTCTTATTCCATTGTGTATTGATGAACTTGTTAATTAAAATTTGTTTGAAATACAGCGGCTCAGATTTTATCATTTTATGCGGTATGCAGCTGTCTTCAGTGACGTTTAACCCATTGACGTATACATGTATCTTCCAGGAGACTGCATTCGTGGTCTCCTCTCTCCAGTTTCTCAGATAGTACTCAATCATCGAGTTTGTATGTCATGAAATGACATCAGTTATGCGCATCCAGAGCATTCCATCACTTCCCTTTCTATCCCTAAATAATCTGTAGGTATTTAGAGTATAGACAAGGGTGCTTATTATCACTGACGATAGTATTCCTAATTGTGCTTGACTGGATTATGCGGCACACCATGTATGGGGACTAAGAAGACAGGAATACACTGAGCCGATAAGAGAACTCTAGAAGATCTGGATTTCGCTGGTAATGTATGTCGTTTAATGACACATAAACTCGAATACTTACTGGCGAAAACCAACTAACTGGCTGGGACTTGCAATTCAGCTGTACGTATCTGAATTTCCCAGTGAGTGAGTAATAGTGTTTCCCCACTGAGGCTCAAGTCAAATAATCAGACGTTGTCGTTTTCTATCTCAGTAAAGCATTCGATAAGGTATCCCATTTAGGTCCTTTTTAGTAAATTTAAACGTTTTAAATAAGACCAAAGCCTATGTCAGTGGTTAAGTGAATACCTGATGGATAGGAGGCAGAAGGTGAGAGTTTGTGATGTACTGTCAGGGTGGAAAGCAGTACTAAGTGGAGTACTTCAGGGAACTGTACTAGGCCATTTGTTACTCCTACTATACGTAAATGAACCGCCGAAAATTCTTACCTCATCTTCACTATTAAGATTTGGAAAAATGTAGATAATGACGATAGCTCGGTCTTATAAAGCGATCGACATAAATTAATTGTATGGTCGAACCTCTGGAGTCTGAAAATTAATTCCAAGAAAAGCGCAGTAATGCACTTGGGTCAGACGTCTTACACGTAGTACTCCATGGGAGACAAAGAACTGCCATATGTTAGGGGGCAAAAGGACTTAGGAATTAATGTAGGCCATGACCTAAAAACAATGGCAAATTGTAATCGAGCCGCAGCTAAGGCTTTTCGAATGCTACGGGCACTTCTAAGGGCATTCAAACGAATATACGAGTCTCTGTTCAAAGTAATCCAGGCAACATATATCAAGCCTCATTCAGAATACTGCATACAAGCAGTGAGCATATGATTCAATAAGGAAGTACATATCTTAGAAACAGTACAGAGGACAGGAACCAAATTAGTTAGTGGTATATCACACCTTCCTTATGAAAACAGGATAGAACATTTAAATCTATTCCCACTATCATACCGAAGGTGGAGAGGCAACTTAATTTTGGCACACCGTATACTGAAGGGTGATTTAGGGATTGACCTTTCAAACCTTTTCTCTCCCTCTAGGATACATTTACAAGCTCACCACAAAAGGGTGCTCAAACCGAGGTCGCATAAATACGTTTGGAGTTTAGATTCTCTCACAGAGTGGCCAACTTTTGGAACTCCTTACCTGATTCAGTAGTAACAGCTCTATCGGTGAACGCTTTCAGAGAGAACCTGAATCTCTGCAGGGATACATATCGAGGGGATTAACATAGGCAACGAGAGCCTTCTATCCTTATAATCTGAATCCGAATTGCTGTCAAGTGGGCTTTCGGTCTCAGTTCTTTTGACGTAGTTTTCAGTGAAAGTATGCATAAAATATCATGAAATAGTCCAGGGGTATTTTTCGATCGTCCAGACAAAGCTGCAGAACTTGTATACTAGATCAGACTAAACTGGAGGGCTTCGTAC